GGGAACAGAACAGGCAGACGGACTGAAATACACTGCTGAGGGGAGCAGCGGGCGAGTCAGAAGAGGTCTGCTGTGTCATGTGGGTAGCTCCTTGGCCGGGGATCAAACTCATGCTGCAGTGGCTGCGGATAGCCACATAGTGCTGTCTCTTTACCCCTTGTGCCACCAGGGAGGTCCCAATTTATAAAATTCCATGTGCCCTATGATTACCTCTATAGAAATGTAAAAACTAGAGTGATAGCTTTATGAAGTTTTTCTCTGTTATCAAATCTTTTTGTAATTATGTTGTCCTTATCAATTTTAAAGGAAAAATTTTTGATAAATGCAAAAGAGCTGTGGGCTTTATATGGGGATCAGGAAATAATATGATAAAATTCTAACCCCCAAAATAATGGCATTAATAGATAGGTTTTTGGGGAGGTAGGTGATTAAGTATCAGGTTCGTGTCCTCATAAAAAGAGACCTAAGAAGATCCTTTGCCTCCTTCTGTCTTGTGAGGACACAGTGAAAAGATAGCGACTATGAACCAGAAAGTGGCCTCTCAGTAGATATCAACCTGCCAGTGATTGTGTAAATTCTTATCAAGTCACTGACTCTTTTTGTCACCTTATCTGCTATTGAGTGAACATTTCAAATATCAAATATTCTATTTTCCATACCAAAATTTCTGTTTAGTTCATTTTTTTGTTTTCTACTTCTCTGCTAAGAATTTCTATCTTTCCATTCAAGAGTGCTAAACTTCAATTCATGGGACATAATAATAATAGCTGTTTCAACATCTTTGTCTGATGATTTCAATATGTAGGTCATCTCAGGGTTGGTATCTGTTGATTGTCTTTTCCCTTAAGAATTGAGGACACTTATCTGGTATATCAAGGGTCTTTGGGATCCTGTAATAAAAAAACACCACTGACTGGGTGGCTTATAAAAAACAGAAATTTAATTCTCACAGGTCTGGAGGCCAGATGTTCAAGATTCTAGCCAGTTTGGTTTCTGGTCACCAAATAATGCTGTATTTAACCAATAACAGAAAAATTGTTGGCAATGCTGGATGCTCAAGGATAAATGAGCAATGATTCCCAAATCACTTTGAATAACTTTTTACACCCATTCAGATAATCGATAATCAATATGTCAAGTAAAGCATTTTTGGATGTATGAGGATTCAGGAACTCTGGTGACATATTTTTAGGAAGTTACTTTGGGATGTGCTCTAGCTAAATGAGGAATGCCAAGAAAAAAAGAAAGGATTCAGGAAAAACTGAATCCAATCCAGGGAGCAGGCAAAATATCATTTTGTAAAAATATGCATTACTCACACTTAAGTTATTGCTGAGGAGTGTCATGAATTAAATGTTTGATGTTTGTGTTTTCCATCTTCATCCCCCTCCACCCCATTAATATGTTGGAATCCTAAACCCCGATAAGATGGTATTAAGAGGTAGGACCTTTGGGAGGTGATTAGGTGAATATGATTAGTGTCCTTATAAAGGATGTCCTAGAAAGCACTCTTACTCCTTCAACCATGTGAGGATACAAAGTACGGAACCCAAGATGCAGTGCAAAGAACTTGCTATGAACCAGGAAGCCTGGCTTTCATCAGACTCTGAATCTGATGGGGCCTTGACCTGGGACTTCTAAGCCTCCAGAAAGGCAAGAAGACCCTTGCCTCACACCACACGTAAAATTTAACTGAGAAGGAATCTGAGACTTAAGTGTAAGTACCCAAACTAAAAATTTCTAGAACATGAGGAAATATTGTGACCTCAGGTTAGGCAAGTTTTCCAATGCATGGTGATAAAAAAATAGAATCCATAAGGGAAAAAACTAATAATTTGGGCCTTATGTGGTATAGCACAGGAAAGACTAAGAGAGTTTCTACTTCATTTCTGGAAAAGTGCTATTCCAAAACACAGAACAGCACATGTCTACACACACACACACACATGCACACACTCATGCATGTGGGTTCTCATTCTTTTGATCCTCTCCACCATTACCTTTTAATTTTTCTCCCATTGCTTTCTTGCTGTACTAAGATTATAATCAGCATTCCTTCTTTAAAGATGACTAAAGAAAAGCAACAAAGCCTGTTTGAATAAGTATAATCCATCTGCATACCTTCACAGCTCAAGTATTTTCATCTTGTCACTATATCCTGGATCTGCTCTCTAAAGTCAATATCTGGGGCCTCCCCTGGTGGTGCAGAGGCTGAGCGCTGGGCTGCGAAGCTGCCCGCAGCCCCTGCAGTGCCAGTTCGATCCCCGGCCAGCCAGCGAGGGTCCCACATGGCGCGCAGACCTCTCCTGCCGCCTGCTGCTCCCCTCAGCAGTGTACTTCGGTCCTTCTGCCTGTTCTGCTCCCCGCTCTGGCTCTGGTGAATTCTCTCACCCTCCCATGCTTCTGACTGTACCCAGTGCTTGTATAAATAAATAAATAAATAAATATTTTTTTTAAAAAAAAATTTTCAAGGAATGGAGTGTTAAAAAAATTAAAAAAAAAATAAAGTCAATATCTGATCCAAAATCTAATAAATACATAAACATTTTCTCTCTCATTGTTAATTTATTTACAGGAATTTATCTTATTTCTGGTTTGCTCTTATAGGTGTGAGCCTACAGGTGAGAGGCCCTTTCTGCATTGATACATTGTAATGGCTTATCTTAGTGCTTAGGAAGTGTTGGATTAGGGGCCTCCATGGTTGCACAAGGGGTTAAATGGCAACACTATGAAGCTACCAGCAGCCACTGCAGCATGAGTTGGATGCTGGCCAGCCAGGGAGCAACCCACTTAGTGCAGCATACCTCTCCTGTCTTGCCAGCTGCTCCCCTCAGCAGTGTATTTCAGTCAATTTGCCTGTTCTGTTCCCCACTCAGTCTCTGGTGAATCTTCTCACTACCCACACCTCTGACCTTCCCCCAGTTCTTGTATGCATAAATAAATAAATCTTTTAAAAAAAAAAAAGAAGTGTTGGATTAGTTGGCAGATGAAACCAAATGCTAAATATCTGCAAATTGGGGCTGTTATATATTTATATGCCATAAGTGTTGTAAGAAACTAACAGAAAAGTTTTTAAGGTTTAATTGTTTATGCATACAGGAACTGGGGTACAGGCCAGAGGTGTGGCGGGTGAGAGGATTCACCAGACAGATTGACTGAAATAGACCGCTGAGGGGAGCAGCAGGCTAGTCAGGAGAGGTCTGCTGCGCCTTTGGGTTGCTTCCTGGCCAGGGATGGAACTCCTGCTGCAGTGGCTGTGGATAGCTTCATAGGTTGTCTTAACCCCTTCCGCCACCAGGGAGGCCCCAGAAAAGTTTTTATGTATTGGAAAGCAGTCAAATTCAAGGTTGTGGATATAAGTTTTGCAAAATTTGGTTATTTGTGTGAAAACTGTCACTCAAGTGCTTTTTCTGGCGACAACCATCTTCTTTGCTTGAGCATGCTGCACAAATACCATTTCTTCACACATTAAAAAGACATGTATGCTAGGTTGCAGATTTAATGAAATTAATATTTTTTACTCTGTGAAGGATATTTTTATGTTAAACCAACTTGTTTAAAAAATCTTAAATTTTGTATGCCGAATGCATGAAGGTGAATACAAAATACCACCATTTTATTTTATTATTATTTTTTAAGATTTATTTATTTATTTATTTATACAAGCACTGGGTACAGTCAGAAGTGCAGGAGGGTGAAAGAATTCACCAGAGCCAGAGCGGGGAGCAGAGCAGGCAGAAGGACCGAAGTACACTGCTGAGGGGAGCAGCAGGCGGCAGGGGAGGTCTGTGCGCCATGTGGGATCCTCAGCCGGAGGCCGGGGATTGAACCGGTGCTGCAGGGGTTGCGGGCAGCTTCGCAACCCAGCGCTCAACCGCTGCGCCACCGGGGAGGCCCAAAATGCCACTATTTTAGTAGCCACTGCCTTCATTCTTGCTACGGTGCAAGCAGTTTAATCCATGATTGCCTTTCCAAAATCAGTGCAAATGTCAATAAAAACGAAAAAGGTTGGGCCTCCCCGGTGGCGCAGCGGTTGAGCGCTGGGTTGCGAAGCTGCCCGCGGCCTCTGCGCCGCCGGTTCGATCCCCAGCTGCTCCCCGGCTACCGGAGGAGGGTCCCACATGGCGCGCAGACCCCTTCTGCTGCCCGCTGCTCCCCCCAGCTGTGTACTTCGGTCCTTCTGCCTGCTCTGCTCCCCGCTCTGGCTCTGGTGAATTCTCTCACCCTCCCGAGCTTCTGACTGTACCCAGTGCTTGTATGAATGTATGTATAAATCAATCAATCAATCTTAAAAAAATAAAAAAAAATGAAGAAGGTTAAGTCTTAGGTATTACAAAATTTGTTTTCACCTTGTAGGCCAAGTGAAAGGGCCTCGAGCATCCTCAGGGTTCTGAGCGTGGCAGCCTGGGGACAGCAGCCCTAGTTTCACCTGTTGTCTCTTATAAGTTGGTAAATTCGGGGTGAACCGTCTGTAACTGTTCTGTACGTCCTTGTCTAACAGTGATTTGTACATAACAATAAATATTAATGCCTGAGAAATGAAAGATTAAACCACAAATTATACAGCCACGTAGCCTTCATCGTACCGCCTCATTCCTTAATTCGATCTGAATTGAGACGTCTTGCAAAACTTCCCAATTTTTTAAACAGTCGGGGCGGGAGCAGCTTGTATGTTTGGCCTCGTGTTCACCTGCGAGACGAGCGTCATAGACCTTCACAGAATCGCAACAGCGGGCTAGTAGGCCTCTTGGCTCCCCGGTCCTACCTACAGTAAAGACCCGAAAGAGCTGGGTTTTCCATGCTTATGGACATACAAGAATTTGAGCTGCGGGGCAGCAAAAACTGAGAAACCCTCGGCGGGGCTTAGAAAAGCAAGAGCAACAGCTTCAGAGATCCCGGAGGCGGCAGCCTCGCGAGACCTGCCGGGTTGCCCGGGCGACGCTTCCGGCTGGCGCGCACCGCCCCGAGAGCAGGGGAGTTGTGAAATGGGCGGCTAGACCTGCCCGCCGCCGTGAATTCGCCAGCGGGAGCGCGCTCGCGGCCGCGCGTCCTCAGCTTTCCCGGCTCCGTCGCTGACGCGTCGTAGACGTTGGGGAGCGGGAAGGCGGCGGCAGTGAGATCGGGATGAACAGCGGCGGTGGCTTCGGTTTGGGTTTAGGCTTCGGCCTTACCCCTACGGCGGTGATTCAGGTGACGAATCTGTCGTCGGCGGTGACCAGCGAGCAGATGCGGACGCTTTTTTCCTTCCTAGGAGAAATTGAGGAGCTGCGGCTCTACCCCCCGGAGTAAGTGCGCGAGCGCGGCTGGGGGAGGGGCGCGGGCGCCGTGGAGACCTCGGGAGCCGAGGCGTGGGGGAGAGCGCGGACCCGGGCGCGCGGCGCCCGTCACGTGACCGCCGGACTTACCTCGGTGCTCCGGTTTGCTCTGGGCACCTGGGCCTGGAGCCCGCGGGGCTGCGCTACTCGCTCCTCTGACTTCGGGGGTTAACCTCTGCCCGGAGCCCTTACAAAGGAATTAGAGAGCTTGCCTTTTTCGTGCCTTCCGGATTTGTGCTGGCTGCCCGCTCCTCGATTTCCGTCCCCGCGACCCCCCTTTTTTCCCGAACTTAAGATGGCCGCAGGTGGGCCCGGAACAGCCTTCATGGCAAACGCCTGATAGTGTTTCCCCCTGATAACCGCGGGGACTGCGCCCGAGAAGCCGTCCAGTTCATCCAGGCTCAGTGTCAGGAATTATTGCCCGCGAGAAATCCTGCAGTTGATGGCAAAATGGAATTAGGGCTGTATTTGTACCCCAGGGCGGTGTTCACAAATTCAGCATCTTGATTAAGCTGAACCTATCCGTGTTAAAGATCATGTCTATGCGTCCTTTTGGCTACGGATAAAAATTTCCTCCTGGAAGGTTACACTGCCCTAAACCTTTCAAAATATTTAGTAGTCACTGCACAATCGGCCCTGCTGTATACTTCTCAAAGTCCAGATCTCGGCCCGCATTCCCAGGTCGCGAACTCGTCCCAATTCGTGTATTTTGAAGAAAGGTTTCTCTCGTACCATACCACCTTCTCAGAGGATTTGTTAGAGGACTGCGGGCTGTTGACATTGTTAACTCGTAAAAGCTTTTTTTTTCCCCCAAAGATAGAGCTTAGCATCTTAAAATCCTCAGTTTTTTGTTCACTATATCAAAAAGTGGTTGCTCAGGATACTTTATTAAACATTTGACTTGATCTTTTTATTTATTTCATAGTGATGCATGTAGATCTTTTTCTTTAGTTTTCTGTCTGTAAGCATGTCGCATTGCTATTGTGTAGATATTGATAAAGGTTGGTCGTGGATTTTTAAAATTTTACTTTTTAAGTTTTTCTCCTCTGCTTTTTGCTTTAAAATACTTAATTCAGCATTGCACTGAACACCCATGTGCGTTACCTGTATTTGCCATTTTATCATAGTTGATTTCATTCTCACCACCATCATTTTGAAATTTGCAGACACTGTGAGTCATCCCTCAGCACTTAGGCATGTATCCCTTAAGAACAAGTACATTTTCCTACATTATCGCAATAGTATTAACACCCAAGAAATTTTAGCATTGGTAAAAGAATAGGTAACAGGTAGTTCATAGTTAAATTTTTCCAATTCTGGTGCTTTTTCTCTTTTTGATCTAGAGTTTAACTAGTGACCGGTGCATATAGTTATCTCCTTTATAATCAAGAACAGTTATGTCACATTTTTAGAAGTCTTTCATGACATTGGTATTTTTTGTAGTTCATATTGTAGTTCATTTTGTAGAATGACTCATAATCTGGATTTATACAGATTGTTTCTATATGGTTAGATTTAAGTACCGTATGTCAAGAATATTTCATTATTCGTGTACATAGGTTTTGTTTTTTCCTTTTTTTTTTAAGATTTATTCATTTATACAAGAACTGGGGTACAGTCAGAGGTATGGGAGGGTGAGAGAATTCACCAGAAACAGAGCGGGGAGCAGAACAGGCAGATGGACCGAAGACACTGCTAAGGGGAGCAGCGGATGAGACAGTAGAGGTCTGCCTCGCGGTGTGTGAATTCTCCCTGGCTGGCTGGGAATCTATCTGGTGCTTCAGAGGCTGCGGACAGCTTCACAGCGCTGTGCTCAACCTGCTGCGCCACCCTGGAGGCCCCCCCCACACATAGGTTTTTTAAATTAGTTGTAGCATATATAACTGTGACTGTTAATTAACTATTGAAAATGCTTTTAGCTGTCTCTTCACTTAAGCACTTAAAATAGTTCTTAATAGTTGAGAAGTATTTGGAAGAAAACTATTCTACAGAATTGGAATTAGTAAGATATATTGTACACAAGGTTGTGATAATGTGAATTATAAATAGAAAAAATACATCACAGAATAGTCCTTTTTTTTTTTAATAGAGGCATGTTTTATTTATTTATTTATTTGTTTGTTTGTTTGTTTGTTTGTTTTATTTATACATGCACTGGGTACAGTCAGAAGTGCGGGAGGGTGAGAGAATTCACCAGAGCCAGAGTGGGGAGCAGAACAGGCAGAAGGACCGAAGTACACTGCTGAGGGGAGCAGCGGGCAGCAGGAGAGGTCTGCATGCCATGTGGGACCCTCCTCCGGTGGCCGGGGAGCAGCCAGGGATCGAACCGGCCCTGCAGAGGCTGCGGGCAGCTTCGCAACCCAGCGCTCAACCGCTGTGCCACCGGGGAGGCCCACATCACAGAATAGTTCTTATTGTCAGCATAATACCACTTAGTTGAAAACTGAATTTGGTACTTAGTAATGGCCTGTGCCTTGAAATTAAGTGGAGTTTAAGTCAAAAAATAAAAAACTCTTTCCTTTAACGTGGTGCATTAATATGAAGTTAGTTGTAACAACTGTGCACATTTACAAATATGTACAGGTCAAGCGAAATTCTTAATTTTTCCTAAGTTCAATCCTTCATTCCTATTTTTCAAAAATGTAAATATGCTTGACTAATTGCACATTTTTTGTTCTGTAATGACATTGTTATAACTCTTGCAGGGAAGATAATTTGCAGACTTGACTGACATGGATTACAAATGCAACAGTGTAGCTGTATTGAAGTCATAATTGTTTTGCAGTGCTGTGGAAATGGTATTTTATGATTAATCTTTTTGAAATTGAGTGGAAATCTCTATTTTAAATTTGGAATATTATCTTTAATAGAATGTGAAAAATAGCTTCTCATTAACATTATAAGAATTCAGTTGGTAATATGAAAATTAAGATTTTAAATTTAATTCTTTCAGTGTGGGGAAATGATTCAATTTCTCTTTAATTTTTTTTAAAGATTTATTTGTTTATGCATACAAGAACTGGGGTGTAAGCCAGAGGTGTGGGTGGTGAGAGGATTCATTAGAGAGAGTGGGGAGCAGAACAGGCAGATCTACTGAAATACACTGCTATGAGGGGAACAGCAGGTGAGGCAGGAGAGGTTGGCTGTGCCATGTGAGTTGCCCCCTGGGCAGCCTGGGAGCAAACTGGTGCTGCAGTGGCTGGCGATAGCGCCACCTGGGAGGCCCTCTCTTTAGTTTTTAAATATTAAAAGTCAGTGTAGACTTTCTTTGTAAACATTCAGAATTCTTAATTGTCATCTTTTTTGCATTGCCAGGTAATAGTATCCAGAATCTCTATTTAAATTTTTTGCACAGTAAACAAATCTCATGTCATGAGAAAACCTTTTACAACAGTAAGAAATCTTCGTAGTTTTTTTTCAGTAAGCTTTTTATTAAAGTATAATGTGGACACAAAAAATGTATGGAGAGGTGTACAGTTAAGTGATCTTAACAAAGTCAACATACCTGTGCAACCAGCTACCAAATCAGCACTATCTCATCCTGAAAGTTCTCTTAAGCCCCCTTCACGTGACCTATCTGCAAAGGACAATCCTAATTTCTAACATAATTTTTAAGATCAACAACTTTGTTGATTTTTTTTTTTTTTTTTTTGGCTGGTTTTCTTCACTTCTCTGGTCTTTCAAAGTACTAATAAGAAAGGTAAAATCTGCTATTTGAATTAATTTAGTTAGGATCTTCCTGGTAGCGGAAGGGCTTAAGACGCAACCTATGAAGCTAACTGCAGCCACTACAGCACAAGTTTGATCCCCAGCCAGGGAGCAACCATCATGGCGCAGCAGACCTCTCCTGACTCTCCCACTGCTCCCCTCAGCAGTGTATTTCAGTCAATTGCCTGTTCTGTTCCCCTCTCTGTCTCTGGTGAATCCTCTCACCCTCCACACCTTTGGCTTGTACCCTAGTTCTTGTATGCATGAATAAATAAATCTTTAAAAAAAAAAACCAGAAAACAAAAAAAAACAACTAATTGTGGGCCAGGAAATATAAGTGAGGCTTAGAAAGTGGGTTCTGTGATATCTGCATTAAATTCCTAGTGAGAATTCTGATTTATTGAAAGTATAATGCAGTTTTTTAATATATTTTTTTAAAAACCACCAAAATTTGATTCAATAAATGAGGTGAAAGTAGTAATCTATTTGGATACTGCAACTCCCCTTAGAGGTAAAGACCCTGTTCTTTTTTTAAAGATTCATTTACTCAAGAACCTGGGTACAGGCCAGATGCGCGGGAGGGTGAGAAGATTCACCAGAGACAGACCAGAGAGGAGAACAGGCAGACTGACTGAAATACACTGCTGAAGGGGGCAGCAGGCGAGACAGGAGAGGTCTGCCATGCCATGTGGGACCCTCGCTGGCCGGCTGGAATCGAACCGGCACTGCAGAGGCTGTGTACAGCTTCACAGCGCAGCGCTTAACCATTTGCACCACCAGCGGAGGCCCTACCCTGATTCTTGTATAAATAAATAAATAAATCTTTTTTTAAAAAAAAAAAAGGTAAAAAATTAAAACTAAGTCAGAATCATATTTTAAAATAATAATCCTATTTAATTTTTTGAACTTTTTTTAAAGATTTTATTTATTTTTATATAATAACTGGGGTGCAGGTCAGAGGCTCAGGAGGGTGAGATGATTCACCAGAGACAGAGTAGGTAGCAGGACAGGCAGACAGACTGAAAGCACTGCTGAGGGGAGCAGCAGGCACGACAGGAGAGGTCCACTGTGCCATGTGAGAATCTCCCTGGCCAGCCGGGAATCGAATGCCCCCCTGAGTACTGCAGAGGCTGCGGACAGCTTCACAGCTCTGTGTTTAACCCGCTGTGCTACTGGGGAGGCCCAAACCTATATAATTTTTTAAAAAATGAACCATTTAATACCTTAGATATAACACAGAGGAAGATCTGCATGTAAGATTTTCAAACATTGACTTAACAAATATGCATTTACTTGCTGAAATGTTTATCTGATATTTTGGGTTGACACTGTGTCGTATTTTAGCCTGTAATGTTTAGAATATAACATAGTGTTAGTACCTCTCCTAATAGCCCAAATGTTTATATTTTTATAAATATAAGTTGATATTCTTCTAAGGAAGGCAATTGGAGATGAAGATGAAAATTGCTTAAAGCACTGGTGTCTAGTCATGCGTAGAACCTACACTCCTGTGATAATGCATTTAAAATTTTTGACCATTTCCTGGTCTAATCAAATCTTGATGGCATTTTCTAATGGTATAGTTGCATTACTAACCAGGTCCACATTTCTTATACTGTGGATGTTTCACTTTTGAAATGGTGTGGGTTACAAATGGTCTATTTGAAAATGTGTTTTTAGTTTTCAACTAAAAGTGATTATTTAGATCACCATTTTTTCACAGAAGGATCTGTCAATTTAGAAAATCTCATTTCAGTGGTGGCTTCTATCCCTTTTGAAAATTTAGTGCTCAAAGAGAATATACTTGTTGCAAATCCTGGGACTTCAGTGGTTCTTTGTAATCACAGATTCTTTTGGTTGTAAAGGAAGAAACAGTGTTGCCCAGTCTAGCTCCAGGAGAGAAGTTAATAAAAACTTAGAGAGTTCCTTAAATTGAATAATAGACATCCAGGCCTCATGGCAACAGGGATTGGGAACCAGAAAGGTTATCAGCATCCAAGGTGACTGTTTCTCAAAGACAACTTTGTTTCTGTGCATTTAACCCATTTCTTTGTACACCTGTTCTATACTCACTCATCTGGCATCTGCCATCTGCCCAAACCTTGACTGGTTGACGGTAGCCTGAGAGAACTTTTCACTGTTTCAAGTTTACTTCATCAAGACATCCAAATCTTAGGTGGTAGGTTAGTGAAATGAGCCTTTGCATCATGTGGGTATTTCACATAAATTGATAAGGTTTGTGCTGAAAGTATGTAGAATGTCTTGCTAGCATATACAGAAAGGATATCCTCTCACTTTGATTATCTTAAAATGACTTTCCACTTAAAAGTGGAATTGACATTCAAAAAGGAGTTACAGAGGGGCCTCCCCGGTGGTGCAGCGGTTGAGCGCTGGGCTGCACAGCCTCTGCAGTGCTGGTTCGATCCCCGGCCTCTGGCGAGGGTCCCACATGGCACGCAGACCTCTCCTGCTGCGCCCACTGCTCCCCTCAGCAGTGTACTTCGCTAGTCTGCCTGTTCTGCTCCCTGCTCTGGCTCTGATGAATTCTCTCATCCTCCCGCACTTCTGACTGTACCCAGTGCTTGTATAAATAAATAAATAAATCTTTAAAAAAAATTTGGGGGGAAAAAAAAGGAGTTACAGAAGACTTCATAGTCAAATGGAACAGTATGTACAAAGGCGATGTAGATGGTCAGGATATGTTTTGGGAACAAGTATTTTTTTAATTGAATTTTTGGGAACATTTAGTTGAATAAGCAATAACACAAGGATACCTTTAAAGAAATTTAAGCAGTGGAGTGACGTGAAATTTAGGGTTTAGAAAGATCACTCTGGCATCTTTGTGGAAGACCATTACTAAGGAGTTGGACTGGAGATAGTGTGATTGGTTCGGAGCCATTTTAAAAATCCAAATGGGAAAGGAGGGCTTGAATTAAGGCATTGATAATGAGAATAATGAAAAAATTAATAGGCAAATATTTGAGAGGCAGTCTTGATAGAATAAATGACCAACTGACTAAAGAAGAGGGAATGGTCAAGGATTGTTTATTAGGATGGGCAGGGTTTGGGCAGTAGTATTAAACTACTCATAGTAGTTTTCTGGAATGAAGCTGATGTATTAGCCACCTATCTCAAATGTTGCCTGTCAGTGTGGCAAAGGAAAAGAGCCAAAAGGTGATGCTTAAAGCTACTAAATAGTGACACTTGTCATTTCTACTCATTGTTATTTGGCCAAAGTAAGTTGTATGGCCACTCGTAACTTTCTTGTGTGCTGTCTTTTTTTTTTTTTTTTGGACATGCTTTTCTTGATTGAACTCAAGTAGGATTTGCCATAATCTATACTCTTTGCATATAAAAGATAATAATTTTAGAAAATCATGATACTATCTTAACCTGAAGCAGTCAGACTATGCAAAAGATCTTGATTTTAATTCCTTATTATCTGATTGTTTCTCAGACTGTTCTGTAGTTTAAATGCTGGAGAATAACATTAGGAAGGGCTGTAAGTAGTTACAAATTTGAGTTACAAAATTTTGTCTATTGATATGGTTGAACTCTTGGGTCGAATCAGTTATTTTTGCATTTCACTCAGATTAAGAATTCAGTAATTTAAGTTTCAAGTTTTTCCAAATAAGGCTATAGACTTGCCTAGATAACCATAAGTTTTTTGTAGACAAATCGGCATTAAAAGACTGTTTTGCTATTTTGTGTGTTCATGATCATTAACTTTTTTCCTATTTTATTCCTCTTATAATTGATATATAGCATATGTTAACTTCAGGTGTACAACGTAATGTTAAGATATTTGTATGTATTGCAAAGTAATGACAATAAGTCCAGTAGTATCTGTCACTATACATAGTTACAGACTTTTTTTGTCAGAATATTATGCAAGATAGCATTATTAGCTGTAGTTTGTACCCTTTAACCCCCCCACCAACAAAATTTCTTAAGCTCTAATAAGCAAATTTTGAATGAAAATAACAAAACCAATCAAAATGTTTATTAGTCCAATTGTTGTTGTTTTTTTTTTATCTTGCAGCAACGCACCTCTTGCTTTCTCTTCCAAAGTATGTTATGTTAAGTTTCGTGACCCATCAAGTGTTGGCGTGGCCCAGCATCTAACTAACACGGTTTTTATTGACAGAGCTCTGATAGTTGTTCCTTGTGCAGAAGGTTGGTATCTCACATTTTTTTCCTGTTATTTTAATCTCTGTCCTGTCTGTTACTACTTTTCTAGAAATTGGCATCCTAGAGAAAGAGAGAGAGAATGGAAGTTTGAGAAGGAAAGAATTTTTACCTAGTATATTAAAATGGTTAATAATGTATGTATGTTTGAGGTTTTATAACTAAACACTGGAAAAGATTCTTAAATTACTTGGTTTCTCTGATTTGTTCTGGCTTTCTATGGTTAATGTCAGTGGTAGAGAAAGCTTTCTGAAATTTAAGGAAAATATTTATTGGTAGGGAAACTGATTATAGATGAGTAAACATTTGTCCTTATGTGTACAGTATTAGTGATATTACATAAATTAAAAAGTGTACACATTTTGCCAAATTGGGGTTAAGAGATATTTATAACAAAAATTTTCATATCTTCTTGAGTTAACTTACCTTAATTGTTAGTTATTAGATCATTATTTCATATTCAGTATAATTGTTTGTTGTGCAATGGAATTTACATTTTCTTTCACTTTTTTTATTTTTGTTTTTCGGTAATTGAAGAAAAATCATGGAAAACAGTTTCTAAAGCCTCCATTAAAGAAATAGTTATTGAAGATGGGAGCAAGGCCAAAAAGCCTTATAGTTATTCATTAAATTTTATGACTTAACCTGATTTATAAGCTAATTATTACTAATTATTTTTTAGTAACTTCTATTTTCAGAGCCACTCACATTTAGTAGACTGTGCTGAATTTGACAATTCTGGTGTGTAATTAACTTTTATTCAGAGCATTGACTATGGCATGTATACATGGATTTTAAAATTGGGTTATTATAATTCACATAACTTTAAAATATATTTTGAATGGGGATATAACTTGTTTTACAACATAAAAATTTACCTGAAACAATTTAATGAGCTTTCATATATACTGTTTTAAAATCTTTTAGAAACCAGTCTAACATTAAAATAACCTAATGTATAATAAACAGTTTGTTGCACTTTCAAGGTTTATGCTTATTTCTGAACATCTATTTTGGGATATCAAAAACATTGCAGTCAGATACAGCAAGTACCATTCTGTTCTTTTTGACATCCCAGAATAGGACATTGTGAAATATTTCAGATAAATTTGAGAGTATTTTTCCCATGCTTAGGGGTTAGAGTGTGGGGTAGGGAGACAAAAACGGGTTGAAATTAATTACTTGATAACTCTGTTGTTATCTACTATTCTGTAAGGGTCAAAGAGCCCAAAATGGAGAGTAAGGTTGGAAAAGAACTGGTAATGGTTCAGTTCTGAACACCAGGTTCGTATCAGTTTCACACAAGTAGATTGCATGGGAAAAAATAAATTCAATAGAGGATTTATTAAATTGGAATATTACTACCAGAAAATTAGGCCACCAACAGCATAGGATCTTGTTAATAGAAGTAAAAATTTTATTATTGTTGCTTTGTTGGAACCTTGAGTATTCCAGTAGAATTTTTCATACATCTGAAAAACCTTTACTGTGATTTGTCATATATTTACGATTTTGAACATGTAAAGTTCCTTTTTGTTTGCTTATTTTACTTGAGAGAGATGAATGCACGTTTATATTAATAGTTTAAATATTTTTAATATTTCCATTTTGAGACAGATTTTTATTATTTTGGGAAGAGGAGATTTAAGCATATTTTTGTAATTTAGTTGCAAGTAAATATTTTAGAATACTGATAAAACAATTGGTATTAGAAAAACTTTCAGATACATGGTTTTCATTAGTTAAATGCAACAGAGATGAATATGGAGCCTGAAGTATGCCACAGTGAGCTGTTGGAGATCTGATTATGCACTACAAGCAAAGTAATAACATTATTGTCCTAAAAAAAAAAAAGCATAGTGAGTTTGAAATAAACCAAAACAAAAGGTCCAACGAAATAGTAAGGTCTATGAGAGAAGAAATAACTGTGGTATTGTAAGCAGTCATCCTTGTTCACTTCACTGACTGCATTCTTTCCTTGATGTTACAGAAACAGCATTATGAAAGAAATAAGAAAACCATAGGAAAAGATTTGAGAAAAGATTTTTCAATTTCTTTCAATTTGCTGTTTTTTGTTTTTTTTTAAATGCAGGCAGTATTGTGAGAAGATCCTAAGCTGTTATAAGTAAGGTTTGATGTGTAATAATTTGCTACATATTGAGCATTAGCTACTGTTATTAAACCATGCCATATCAAAATAAAATATGCTTTCATAATACTCATGACCTTTTTTGTTTCGTGCATCTCAGATTTCCTTTTATAAATGTTAACACTTAGAGAAAGATAAGGTCAAACATAACAGGGTGTCAGCCTAATCATCAGTCATAACTTTATGTCCACATTTTCTGGTAGATGGATTTTGACTATTAATTTGGTTTTGTATGTTTTCTCTATGTGATATTTGTGCATTATTAGATGACTAGACTGGCCAAGGCAGACCTGTTACACTTGCCTGAGTTAGGCATTGTTTGCCATGCCACTAAACCTGCCGTCAAGTGAAAACTTCATTGGGGAAATGAGATCGGAGTCTGAACCGCAGAAGATGGACGCCCTGTCTCTGTTTTTTATTGTTTTACTTTAATTTCATTTCTTTTTCTTTATTTTGTCCCTTTTTTGTTTTTGTTTTTGTTTTGTTAAATCTCTTTCACTTTAACTTGTGAGCTGGTTTTCCAGTTCTTTGTAAATGGTATTCCATTAAGGGTACATAACATTGTGCTACAAATTTTATTGGGAGATAATTAGCAGAGCTTAACCTTAAAAGAGAAAATAAATTTTCATTCAGTAAATTAGAATGCAGAGTTGTGAAACCCAGTGTGAGTTTAATTGGTCTTTATAGACTGATCCAGGTACATTCTGTTCTTGAAACATTAAAACACTTGTAAGATTCTTAGGAACACTTTGTGATCTCAGTGCAACATTTTTGCAGGTTTTTTCTCCCAAAGTCTACAACTCTTGTAAAAACCAACTGATAACCTTCTATTTTTTTATCCTTCCCCTTAGAATTTTAGGCATGCAAAATCAAGGAAGATACATAAATTTCTTATAACAACAATCTGGGGGTAGAGATTAAAAAGAGCCTTTCACTTTTGTGATGGTCACTCATTGTAGAAACAAACTTCCTTGATTTACAAAGACTTCATTACCTATGTGGGGAATGGATATTTGAGAAATTTACTAGTGTTTCTCTGCTTGAATTTTTTGTTGAAAACATTTTAGTGCTTACTAACCTCCAAATGAATACTGAGATTAGGACAGGCCTTTAATAATGTGAGAGATGTTTTTCCCCTCAGTTGTTTTTGGGGAGTCTGCTAAATGCTTTTTATATACACTCTGGTAGTATTTGCAAGGTAAATTTGATAAAATTCTATCTTGGAAATTAAGCAATGCCCTTTTTTTCCCTTAAGGTATCTCAAATAGTAATTAGAATAAGAAAAAATACTGTGCTACAGTTAGATTTAATATTTATAATAGTTTATTACTATTGGGAGAAGCATACAATTTTTACTTTTTAAAGCCAAAAGTGAAAGACTTTATAATTTTTACTAATCAGCTTTTGGCCTGTGTTGAATACTTTTTTGTTTGTGGAGTCTTTCTACACTGTCTTGTATGGATAGTTCTAATTTAATTGACAAGTAATGTTAAATTGGGAACATTTCTGGATTGGATCTACTGGATTGGAACTCAGTTTTTTATTTAGTTGTATAAATTAGGATTACACCTCAGGACCTCAATTGATTTATCAATATGTGTTCAGGTTTCACAAACATTAAAAAAAAATAACAAAATTGGTAGCAATATAAATAGTATAGTATATATGTTGGTATACATATACATGTGTTAATATATTAATAGTAACTAATAAATATAGATTGTTGTTTGATGTCTTCAATAAGGCCTGCCTTTATTTATGCATGTTTAAAAATCTGTGCTTGTGCAGAATTTACATTGAATAATAACTTTGTTTTTTACATTAGTAAAGTAATATAGATGTAGGAAATTTGCAAAGCTTAGAAAAAAGTAGACATTTGCTAGTTAATAAAATGTAATTTTCTGTTTCTATAAGTTGAAGTTAAGCATTATTTAAAGCAAGTTTTAAGATCTGTCTTGAATTCCATCCATGTTTAGAGATTATTCAGATATTATTGTTGAGAAATTTATCCCTACAGATCTGTTTTAAATAGATTTTACCGCTGAAAACCAGCATGGTACTTTTGAAAATTTACTCCATATGCTATTTTCAGTCTCGCATGATTTTGTACACTGTGTTTTAAATTATTTTTGAAGAATTCATAGTGAAAATGCATAGCCAGCTGCCACATACTTATGCATACTTAATGAGTAGTTTCTCTAAAATAGCCATGTGTAGTCAGCTTTTAAAGAAATATTTGGGGGGTGGGGTGGGTAAGAGACAACCAGGAAAATGAATAGAGTAGAATTTAGTAATTATATATGGCAAGTTGATGTGCTCATTTTAGAGTAAATTTTTCATTTTTTTAGTCATCAGATTTTTTTCTTACTAGTGTGTAAGATTACTTTAGTGCCACTGTTACTGGGCAATTAAAATGTTTATGAGCAAGACATTGAGGCATTAGCCACCCTTTTTCAGATAAGTATTGATTGTAAAAGTCAGTAGTGAGACCAGGGAACTTTTTTTTTTGGTTAATCATTCTCAAAAATTTGAGGTTTTCCAAGGCACTTTTGGAATTGGATTCAGTAGGAATCTCTGATACTGGTGAGATGCCTAGTTAACTGAATGGGTTAGGTTCCCGTTTAAATTGAAGTTGATCACATGCAGTAGGCGTTTATCTTTTTCTGTCTACTTGAGATTGAATGGAGTCTATTGGAAGATTATCAAAATTGTTTGCATCACAAATAGGTAGTTTCAATAACAGTGTAGGAGCACTCAATAAGGAACAAATTTCAATTCGCACATATTTGTTTTTTCTTTTTTCTTTTTTTTGACTAATTTGGTTATTTGCCATTTCTGGGGATTAAACTTTAAAAAATGTTCTTCTTTTCTGTATCTGATGTTCTGTGTGCTATTAGTGATGCAGCCAACACGAACGGTTGTCATGTGTAACACAACTTTCGATCACCGCGAAAACACCGTCCTGGGAAAGCCTCCATGCTTGATATCGTTTGGTTCATGAACATTAAGTTTCCAGTACAGGTGACCCATAGCTCAACGTGTTAAATAATTGTCTACATTATTCAATTTTTAAAATAATATTCCATTAATGAGATTGTTAGTCTTTGAAATTTTGCTCACTTTTATTTTTCCTAGTAGAGCAGGATAAAAGGAAAGACTTAAGTTCTTATTTATTTCTTTATACGGATCTGATAGATTCATTTATTATTATTATTTTTTAAGTGCAAGGGTAATTGTAAAATCATAGTGTAAAGTTTGCGTGGTGTTTCTGCTTTTTGTAATGTTTTGAACTTGCCCCTGCAGGTAAAATCCCAGAGGAATCCAAAGCTCTTTCTTTATTGGCTCCTGCTCCAACCATGACAAGTCTGATGCCTGGTGCAGGCTTGCTTCCCATACCAACCCCAAATCCCTTGACTACAGTAAGTACTGGATACAACCTCTTGTAAAAGGGGTAAGCGTTGAAATGTGTATTCAGAGGAATAAGTTTAAAATATTATGTATTTTATTTTTTTAAAGATTTATTTATTTATGCACACAAGAACTGGGGTACCAGCTAGAGGTGATGAGGGTGACAGGATTCACCAGAGACAGAGTGGGGAACAGAATAGGCAGATTTAAATACATTGCTGAGAGAAGCAGTGGGCGAGTCAGGAGAGGTCTGCTGCACCATGTGGGTAGCTCCCTTGCCAGCTGGGGATCAAACTCCAATTCATGCTGCAGTGACTTAATAATAGCTTCATAAGTTGTGTTTTAACCCCTTGCGCCACCAGGGAGGACCCAATATTGTGTATTTTAATCTTTTTTTTAAAAAACCTCTGGAGAGGATAACCCCTAGGTTATCACTTTTGTGTATAAACTTTTTGGTTGCCATACTTTAGATAACATGGGGAAACTTTTTCTTAGGTTGTAGAACTAAAGCCATTTGAAAAATAAATGGTCCACGGCCTTAGTAGTGGGAAAGGATATCTGAGAAGGATTTGTCCTAGATTGACAAAATGTAGCAAGGTAAAACCATGCCAACGTATTTTTTCATTAACTGGGATTAAATAGTAGTTTATTGCCTCCTTTGTGATTTCCAGTGGGGTTAAAAAAGATTTTGCTGTTACAAGCCTTTGGTGGTTTCCTTTTTCCTTCACTCTTTTTTTTTTTTTTTTCCCCAATCGAGTTAACATTAGTTTACAATGCTATGTATATGATTTGGCTCTTGGTATTTTTATATAAAATTTCTGGTCATTTGTTTTAAAAGAGGGGTCATTTTTCTTCAAAAATAAACCCATGGCAAAATATAAAACCTTAATTGAAAGTTGGGACTAGCTTTGTGGCACAGGATTAATAGAGAGTGAACTGATAAATTTTATGATTGTCATTAATTTAAGTTATAAGTGGTCTTTGAAACTTTGAAGTGCAAAATTTTAACATCTTTAATTGTTTACATTACATTTTTCCGCTGGAGACCTGTATTGTGATCCATGGGGAAAATGTTTCATCTCATCATTTGGAATAGGCTTTCTGAATTTTTTATTTTGGGTACGTTTTAGCATGTTAGTTCCTGGGTCATCATCTTTTCATTGCCCAGAAAATATTATCTTGGGTTTATTTATCAATTATATAAAATTTTTATTATATAATTTGTTGCCCTGAGGGGAAGTGTTTTTATCTTGATTCAGTTATACATTATCAATTCTTACAAAACTTAATTCATGGAAAATAATTTCAGTTAGAAAACAGGGCAAAGTTGACCATTTGTTTTATCTCCTGACTACCTTTCTGACCTTTTCTTTCTACCTTTTTCCCTGGCTCACTGTGCTTCAGTTCTGTTGGCTTTGTTGTTTCTTGGACATGCCAAGCATATTTCTGCCTTAGGGCTTTTTATGTACTTATCTGCCTAGAACATTTCTTTTCCAGATATTAAAAAGTTTTCCTCTTTCTCTCATTACAGTGAAGCCTTTCATGAAGTTTCTACTTTAAAGCCACATCTTTAGGGTGGCCAGGATTTGTGTTTCAGAAGGTTAAAGTGTTAACATATGGCATCCTGATTGTCATTGACCCATCAGAGACTAACAGGACAGCTTAAGTCCTTTAGCTCAGGGGTAGGAAATAGACTTACTTAAAGAAGAGTAGCTGTATTATTACACAGCAGCCATATTCAATAAAAGTTCACTATGATCGAAATATCTGTATCTTTGCTATCAGGTATGGTAGCCACTAGTAATTTGGCTACTGAGCACTAGAAATGTGGCTAGTGGGAGTGAGGCATTTCATTTTCATTAATTAGATTTTAACTACTGACCATCATATTAAATAAATAGCACAACTATAGAAGAATGGTATAGTAAGGAGACAGGAAAAGGTTTATAAAAAAGATTTGAAAGATCCTTAAATTTGAAAAACAAAGATGTTGAATAAATGGTTTGGAAAAGTGTATTCCAGAGCTCTAATTATATATCCTGGTGGAAAAATGTATAGGTCAAAGGCATTGACTGCTTGGGACCACCTAGAAAGGCCTATTTAATGCTTAAATCCAAGCAAAACTAACAAGTAATAAGACTCATGTTTATATTTTAGCTACAGAATGCAATAATTCTCCTGTACATAAAAAAAAAATAGGTCTAATCCTTAGTCATCTGTATATTTTATAAGATAGAAGACAGGGGGGAGGGAGTATGATTAGAGAAGCAACTCTTGGAGATAGGTTCAGCATAGTCTTGACTCACTAGAGATCACTCACCCGTATTGAACTAAGATTTTTTTTATAATATAACTTGAAATGTTGATTGTGAGCAGCAAATCTAAGGTCTATTAATAGCAAAATAACCACAGATTATAAAAAAACAGTTGATGCTTGAACAACAAAAGGATTAGGGAGAGGACAATTTTTGAGTCCTCCCCCAAACTTGATCTTTGTCTCTTGGTGTCTTTGGGGGATTGGTTAAAGGTTCCGCCAAGGATACCCAAATCTGAGGATGTTCCACTTGACATCACAGTTTGGTTGAATCCATGAAAGTGGAACCTGTCCATACTGAAGGTCAACTGTATTTATTGAAAAAAAATCTACTTATAACTGGACCTGCGCAGTTTGAGCCTGTGTTTAAGAGTCAGTTGTACTTTCAGGGGTAGAAAACCAAGTGATATGTAGAGAGCAAATGAAGCTCTGTTGAATGTCAAGGAAAATTGCTTGGAGGGATTAATTGATCTGGTAGAAGCTGGAGAATAATTTTCCATGCAGAAAGAACACTAAAAAGCCCTGGGAAAATCCTAAGTGCTCAGGGTACAGAATGGTTTAGAACAGTTGAAGTACAGTATGTGAAGGGGAGGATAGTATGTGTTTTAATATTGGAGGGATAGCTAGGGCACTGATTATATGGTACTTTTTAGGTCAGTGAAAAGACTTTAAATTTTATTCTAAGGGTAATTGGAGACCATTTCATGGGGTTTTTGTTTTTTTTTTTTTTTTAAAGATTTATTTATTTATTTATCATTTATACAAGCACTGGGTACAGTCAGAAGCGCAGGAGGGTGAGAGAATTCACCAGAGCCAGAGCGGGGAGCAGAGCAGGCAGAAGGACCGAAGTACACTGCTGAGGGGAGCAGCGGGTGGCAGGAGAGGTCTGCGTGCCATGTGGGACCCTCCTCCGGTGGCCGGGGAGCAGCCGGGGATCGAACCGGCGCTGCAGAGGCTGCGGGCAGCTTCGCAACCCAGCGCTCAACCGCTGCGCCACCAGGGAGGCCCGCATTTCATGGGTTTTTAGCAGGGGTATGGCATAATTTGACATGTTTTGAAAAATACCCACTAGCTGTTATGACAAACATAAGTAATACTGGTTTCATAAACTTGTGTTTTCACTTTTAGGAAGCGTTGTTACTTAACATTTGTTAAGTCTTTGTAGTTTTGCAACATACTGGCATTTATAAAATGTGCTCTTCAAACTACAGGTGAAAGTTATAGTGGTTTTTTTTTTTTTCTTTGAAAGGTCTTCTGTATAATTTTCATTTTTCAAATTCTGAGTTTTTCTATATTTGCTAGTTAAGGTCAATTAAAAATAGGTTCCTTAATGCTTGACTGGAAACTGACTTTAGTAATGCTATTGTCCTCTTCTCTTTTTAAGATTTATTTGTGCATGCAAGAACTGGGGTACAGACCAGAGGTGGCAGGGGGTAGAGGTGAGAGGATTCATCAGAGAGAGTGGGGAACAGAACAGGTGGATTTACTGAAATACACTGCTGAGGGTAGCAGCGGGCAAGACGGGAGAGGTCTGCTGCACCATGTGGGTCACCTCCCTCTGCTGATAGCTTCATAGTTCTGCAACTTAACCCCTTGCGCCACCAGGGAGGCCCCTGTTTTTGTCCTTTTCTAAACATAGTATAAGCAAGGGTTTTATTTTTGGTTTCTCTTTGTAGGTTAACTTTTGTCCCTGTTTCAGTTTTTTAGTCTTTTCATGATGGTACCCTGCCTTTACCACTTGGTACCTGAGTAGCTTTGGAAAAAATCATTTAATTTCTTTGGATCTTTTTCTTTATCAGTAAAATTAGCATGATAGTAACACCTGTCTTTCAGGTTGATAAGGGGATTAAATTAATAACCTGGCAAAAATTAGGTGCTATAGTTATTAACTATAGGAGCTCCTTTATATAATCTATGTGCTGTTGAATGAGCAAGGTACAGTTGATTCTCATTACTTTTGAATTTTGTATTTGTGAATTTACCTACTGTTTAAAAATTATTTGAAACCTCGAAATCAGTATTTGCTGTGTTTTTGCACAAAGAAAAAACAAAAAAATGGCTTGATAGTATGTTCCAGATGAGGTCAAAGAGAGCAGTGCTTTGTCATGTTTAAGCTCTAGTACTGTAAACAAGCATCCTTTTTTGTTATGTTTTTTGTGTTGTGTTTTCTGTATTATTTTTATGCTTTTTCTTGGTGATTTCATTGTTAAATTAGCCCCCAAGCTTAGTGTTAAAGTTCTGTTTTAGGGCCTCCCTGACCCTGATGGTGCAAGGGCTTACATCTCAGCACTATGAAGCTATCAGCAGCCACTGCAGCACAAGTTCAATCCCTGGCCAGGGAGCTAACCCACATGGCCAGGGATCTAACCCACATAAGTGGGTCTTGCCTGCTGTCTTCCTTTCCTGTCTTGCCTGCTGCTCCCCTCAGCAGTGTATTTCACTAGATCCGCCTGTTCTGCACTCCACTGTGTCTCTGGTGAATCCTCTCACCCCTCCACCCTACCTCACACCTCTGGCCTACACCCCAGTTCCTCTATGCATAAAAAAAAAAAAAAAAAGAAAATGGTATTTTTAATACTAATAGAAAATAATGTGCTCTTTTTTCTTTCTTTCTTTTTTATAGCTGGGTGTTTCCCTTAGCAGTTTGGGAGCTATACCAGCAGCAGCACTGGATCCCAATATTGCAACACTTGGAGAGATACCACAACCACCACTTATGGGAAATGTGGATCCTTCCAAAATTGACGAAATTAGAAGAACAGTCTATGTTGGCAATTTGAATTCCCAGGTAACCTAATTTTACAAGAAATTGAGCAGTAGTAACTAATTCTTTTTTTCTCCTTAAAAATCATATGGATTAATGTAGGTCTACCTGATTTTTTATTTTTCAAATATATGTGTGTGTGTGTGTATATATATATATGTGTGTGTGTTACTTTTTTTCCTCAGACAACAACAGCTGACCAACTGCTTGAATTTTTTAAACAAGTTGGAGAAGTGAAGTTTGTACGGATGGCAGGTGATGAGACTCAGCCAACTCGGTTTGCTTTTGTGGAATTTGCAGACCAAAATTCAGTACCGAGGGCCCTTGCTTTTAATGGAGTTATGTTTGGAGACAGGCCACTGAAGTAAGAAATCCTCAGCAAAGAAATTTTAATGATTTTGAAAAAATTTAAAGTATTTTTGGTGTAATTAAGGTTTTTTTTTCCTTTTTTAATAGTAATTGGCAATTTATGGAAGGAAGACTGTGTTAAGTATAAATGAAATACATGAGATACATATCAGCTTTCAAACTAAATTTGTATTTGAAAGCATCTTATGTTCTATTTTGTAAGGTCTGATGTAATGTTAATATTATTCGTATGCCCTATATAATGATTGTAGTAATTTTTCCATACACTTTTTAACAAGTCAGATTGGTTTTGCATTGTGATTAGACTGATGGGCAGTTTAACATATTTTGAACTTGTAGTAAACAGTAATAAGAATAAGAATCTTGGTAAAAATAAAACCCAGGAAGACAATCATATTAAATGTCCAGAGATGGTTTAAGTCACACATTTTGTGTTTTATAGTTTGCTCATACCTTTGCAAAATGAAAAATTGATGCAGCCTTTCAGGTGCTCAAAACCAGAAATTTTATTTCATGAGGATTATTGAGGCAACAGTTTGATCTGAATTGCCTGAGTAATTACCTTAGCTGTACAGTTTGATTAGGATTCTGCTGGGTTTTTTTGTTTGTTTGTTTAAGATTTATTTATTTATGTATACAAGAGCTGGACTGTAGGCCAGAGATGTGGCGGGGGTGGGTGAGAGGGTTCACCAGAGACAGAGTGGGTACAGGCAGATCTACTGAAATACACTGCTGAGGGGAGCACTGAGCAAGACAGGAGAGGTCTGCTATGCCATGTGGGTGACCTCCGTGGCCAGGGTTCGAACTTGTGCTGCAGTGGCTGAGAATTGCTTCATAGTGCTGCTACTATAGTGGTGGCTCCCTTGCACCACCAGGGAGGCCCCTAGGATTTGCGTGGAAGGGTTAAAACAAGACAGAGCAGATTCATTTATGTTCATCAGAGAAACCATTCTTACCTAGTAGGGGAATAGTTTATCAGATGCCTATACATTTGAAGCTATGTCTGACTCAGTCAAGGTCTAAGGTTAATTGTTTGCACAGCTTCCTTTTCATTTTCCCATCTTTTTTAGTTCATTATCTTTTTTTCCTTTTTTTTTTTAAAAAGATTATTTATTTATTTATGCAAGAACCTGGGTACAGGCCAGATGCACGGAATGGTGAGAGGATTCACCAGAGACAGAGCGGGGAACAGAACAGGCAGACTGACGAAATACACTGCTGACGGGAGTAGCAGGCGCAACGGGAGTGGTCTGCTGCGCCATGTGGGCCCCTCACTGGCTGACCGGGATCGAACCTGTGCTGCAGAGGCTGTGGACAGCTTCACAGTGCTGAACTCAACCACCTGCGCCACCAGGGAAGGCCCTTTTTTTTCCTTTTTTTAATTTTTAATATTTCCAAGCTGTGTGGGAAAAGATTTGTCCAGGTCTATTGAAGTATATTAGACCACTAAGGATTAGTTTTTTTTCTCTTTTCCTTCTTGCTTTGGACTCTGTTAATGAGAGCTAATGCAGCAGGTTGAGCACAGTACTCTGAAGCTGTCCGCAACCTCTGCAGTGAGAGTTCGATTCCCAGCCAGCCGGGGAAATACCCACATGGCGCAGCAGACCTCTCCTGTCTCGCCCGCTGCTCCCCTCAGCAGTGCTTTCGGTCTGTCTGCCTGTTCTGCTCCCTGCGCTGTCTCTGGTGGATCCTCTCACTCTCCCACACCTCTGGCCTGTGCCCCAGCTCTTGTATAAATAAATAAAATCTTTGAAACAAAAAAAAAAGAGGTAATGAATGGCAAGTAGGAATGAGATGAATCATGATTTTTGAGGTAGTTTTTGGTTATTTAGCTGTATTATTATTAGTGTGCTTTCAAAATGTCCCCAGATATATGTTTAAATGCATGTGTCATAAAAACATTTACTTCATGTTTTGTAAAATGTATTATGTATTTGTGATATGCTAATATTTTTAATTTAGAATAAATCACTCCAACAATGCAATAGTAAAACCCCCTGAGATGACACCTCAGGCTGCAGCTAAGGAATTAGAAGAAGTAATGAAGCGAGTTCGAGAGGCTCAGTCATTTATCTCAGCAGCTATTGAACCAGGTAAGGCCATAGCATTGTTACACAGTTCACAGTTAAAATCATAGAATTTTAGAAATGGAAGGAATTTTAGAAAATATCTTGTTTAGCCCCTTCATTTTACAAATAAGAAGACTGAAACTCAAAGAGTAAGTGACTTACTAGTGTCAAAGTTTAAAGAACTGCTAAGCATAACTTGTCTTTTCCCATGAAACCAATTAGAGGCATACTAGTCTCAGTTAATCGATTCTTTATATTTTTATAGCTTAAAGCTGTTTGACTTAAAGTCTAAATTTTATTTGAGACTAAAAACAAGAATAAATATATTTAAGATGTTACGATTAAGCAGATGTACTTTCCTTCAAAGTTTTAATTTTAAAAATGGAAGAGAGCTCATTATTTAGGAAAATCTGTTTTAGCAAGGTATAAAGGAACACCAAGTTAAACTTATATGTTGCTAACTAAAATGATTTAAAAATCCAGCCTACAGATGTCTAGATGGTTAACATTTAAGGAAATTTTCTAAATTAGCACTCAGAATTTAAGTTTCAATTCTAGCAAAATAAATGGAGAAATTCACTGTCATGAATTACAGACATGTTATAATCGTACATTATGGCAGCAACAAAATATTACGAACAGCTGTTTATAATCATCTGGTTTATATGTACTGCTGCAGGGTGGCTGCACTCAACGAGTTTATGCAATGACTTTCTTGGATGTTTCTGAAGGATAATTGCACAGGAGGAGGATGTACAGAGAGTAGGCCCCTTGCACTATATGTGGTATATTCCACTTGTGCCTGATTATTAACTGGGATCTTTAATTGTTCTGAGCTTACACTGCAAAGTGGTTTTTTCCTCCCAGAGTCTGGAAAGAGCAATGAAAGAAAAGGCGGTCGATCTCGTTCCCACACTCGTTCAAAATCCAGGTCTAGTTCAAAATCCCATTCTAGAAGGAAAAGATCGCAGTCAAAACACAGGTGAGAATTTTTGCTGTCATATAATTTTATTTTTTTGGTTTTGTATTTAAATAAAGATTTTATGAGTTCTTTTTTGAGATTTATTTATTTATGCATACAAGAACTGGGGTATAGGCCAGAGGTGTGGGAGGTGAGAGGAATCACCAGAGACAAAGCGGGGAACAGAACAGGCAGATGGATTGAAATACACTGCTGAAGGAAGCAGCAGGCGAGTCAGGAGAGGTCTGCTGCACCATGTCGGTTGCCTCCCTGGCCGGGGATCGAACTTGTGCTGCAGTGGCTGCCGATAGCTTCATAGGTTGCGTCTTAACCCCTTGCGCCACCAGGGAGGCCTGATTTTAATTATGAGTTTTTGTCAGAACCTGGAAACTTTAGTGGTGCTTACCAGGAAACATGATTACCATTAAATATTACTTCTATTACTATAGTTAAGAATAAACTTTTATCTAGTTCATGTTTAAGTTTTGAATTTTACTTAACTTTCAGTTTTGGAAGTTGGTTTTCTGTCTAAATATCACCTATACCTGTTTTTCCTAAGAGTTAAACTAGTCTTTTTACAGAATTGGCAGAAAATTTTCATTCTTCTAATGAGAAAAGGAAGTAACATCTATCGCAAAGCTGAAAATACTGTGACATTGTGACTTTTTTCGTCTCAGTGAACTCAAGAGCTTGGGAGCATCATCCCAGGTCTTGGCTTCAAGTAGTTATCTATCTCTTCTACAATGAATCATGTTGGGGCACTTTGGTACATGTTGTCAGTGGCCTTCTGCAGCCTTTTTGGGAACCTGAAATGTGGGAGAAATTTGTAACTTTGGCTCCAGCTATTGTATTGCGACTAAGCCCTGTTTCTGTTCTTTCTTTTTTCTTTTTCTAATCTGCTGTGTTTGGTGCAAAGGGCACCCAAAATGTAACTTTGCAACATCATTCTTCAAGGTGTGGAAAGGGCTGTTCTTGAAATGCAAGGATGTGTAGAGTGGGTCCTATTTGTACATAAGATGTATTCTCATGCTTATGCTTAAAGGAAGAGATAGGAAAAAATATGCCTGTATGTGTCTGCATGGTGTTGGGATATTGAAAAGCAGAGTTTTAGGGGAGGAAAATAAGAAGCCAGTATCCTGTATGTTGAATCTTACAGTAAGCTTAGGTCATTCTGTTTTTCTGTGATGATCAGGTGAATTGAAGCAATGAGATAGGAAAACAATATTCCTTTTTTGTTCTCTGGTGATTATATTTCCAGCTATATACTTCTCTATTTTTAGTTTCCAAAATCTCTTTTGAGATAATGTTTTTTTTTTTTTTTTTTTTTTGCCTTCATTCAAGACCTTACAATTAGGCAAATTTAAAGCCAAGTGAAGGAAGTTGGTTGTTTCATGTATAGGCATTAAGGCAGTGCAACAGAATCCAGAATTAGACAAGGAAAGTGGTTTAGCAATGGTAGTACTAGGCTATGGAAGGTTGACAGGATGTGGTAACTATAGAGGATATCAAGGAAATTAAAATTCAGCTGAAGAGATTTTTTCCTCTGGAAAAAAAATAATGTATCAATGATCCGAATCTTACATTGTGTTGATGGTAGGAGCCATGTCCCAATCTCATACCTTCCTGGTTTTCTTAGATTCAAAAAAAAGTGAAACTTAATGATTAACATCATTTTCATATCTCTATGAATTGCTCTTTGTTTTTTTGAAATTATGACAATTTAACTTTAATATTTTTGTTCTTATTCTAAATATATATATATATATATATATATAGTCATTTTTAGTTTCTCTGGGTTTGTGGCGGAAGGTTATTCATTCTGAAGTGAAATATGTTAATTTTTGTTCATCATGGGAGTACTTTCATGTAGATCTGTGCAGTATTAGAAATTACTTGTTCTTGGCATTCTCTGTTCTTTTACGTATATTTTTATCTTTTGTCACCATATTCTATTTTTTTCCATGGAATATAGAAACATTTAGCCTTGACTAATAAAGATACACAAAAGTGAATGCGTTCTCTTTAAAGGGGGGAAAATTCTTTATCTAGAAACATTTGACTTACAGAGCTTACATGGAAGGACTGACTCCCAGGAAGGAGGATTAGGACAGGTTTTTCTTGGCTTTGACTCCCCTGCTAATGAAGTCTGATAACCCTCCACTCAGGCTTTGATCCATTAGGCTAAACTAAGCAAGAACGTGGGTTGCAGGATTTCTTGCTCTTGAAGCTGGCCCACCCTCCTTTCTCATCACCTGCAGAGACTTCTAGAACCTCCCTCACACTCTCTCCCTCTTCCTTTCCTTTCCTTACATTTCAGAGGGAGGAGGGGTTTTTGTCGCTGTGACCTTGGGCTAAGACTGGTGAGATGTTTTCATTTTGTCCAAATTTTTTATGTTTTTTTCATAGGGACAGTGTTAGAAAAAGTGGGTAGAACTATAATTATAAAGTTAAGTAACCTTTACAGACCAGCATAGGAATAAGACATTTTATAATGCTTTAATGGGAAACAACTGACTTAAAAATGAACTTTGATGCAACATAATGGTAAGTTTTCCTTTATTTACAGTTAATTTATAAATATAATTTTCCACATTATGCAAAAATGAGAGCTGCTAACAATAACTCATGTTTATCTTTGTTTGGATTAAATTTGCACTTGAAACGTTTAGCATTCTTAATCAGCCAACTTGTAGTTGAGATTAAAAGACATGAACATATTTAATGTCAAAATAATTTTTCATTTTTGAAAGGGATTTTCTTTGCTTAATTAAGGTTGGAAAGAATTGCTTTGAGGAAAGCAAAATTTTACATTTTCAGCAAATTAACTAGAGCAGAACACAGGTTAAGATTTTTTGTTAAGTGTATAGAAGCAAGTGCTTTTTTTTTTTTTTATAGAGGCATGTTTTATTTATTTGTTTGTTGTTTGTTTTGTTTATACATGCACTGGGTACAGTCAGAAGCACGGGAGGGTGAGAGAATTCACCAGAGCCAGAGCGGGAAGCAGAGCAGGCAGAAGGACCGAAGTACACTGCTGAGGGGAGCAGCGGGCGGCAGGAGAGGTCTGCGCGCCATGTGGGACCCTCCTCTGGTGGCCGGGGAGCAGCCGGGGATCGAACCGGCGCCGCAGAGGCCGCGGGCAGCTTCGCAACCCAGCGCTCAACCGCTGCGCCACCAGGGAGGCCCAGAAGCAAGTGCTTTTAAGATCATAAACCTGTGCAACCAAAACTAATGTTGTATCTCAATTACATCTAAATTAAAAAACTAAGGCAAACAACAAAAAAAAATCCATTGCCCTTTATATGAATATCTGAACAGGGACTAAAAGTGATCTATATTTTGCAGTTTTGTCTTTATAGTTACTGTTTGACACTTAAGTTTCTTAAGTTATTAGTGATAAAGATTTCAACAAACTGCATTACCTTCTTAGATTCAAAATGTAGCGTTAAGATCAGTGTACAGTTAAGTTTTCATTTATGTCTATTGTTAAATACCAGAGACTGCTAGGCAATTTTTCATACATTACCTAATATTGAATCCTCATGACAGTCCTAGGAGATGTAGGTATGATTCTTACTCCACTTTATAGATGAAGAAATTCAGGCTTAGAGAGGTTAAGTGCCTGGCCAGAGTTCTCCAACGTAGTGTGTGGCAGAGTTGAGTGCACAGCTAGATTGTCTGACTGACAAACCGGTGAGCCTCATCACTTTGTTATTTAAGTTGTGTGCATTCTATTTTGTTACATTTTAACAAATAGTTCCAGAGTACCTTATTATAAAAAAATCATATTATATAAGCAGTTAATTCAGGGGGTTATTTTTCCTTCAAGAATTCCAGTAATAAAAGTTTCTTTTTTTTTTTTTTAAAGATTTATTTATTTATTTTTACAAGCACTGGGCACAGTCAGAAGTGCAGGAGGGTGAGAGAATTCACCAGAGTCAGAGCGGGGAGCAGAGCAGGCAGAAGGACCGAAGTACACTGCTGAGGGGAGCAGCAGGCGGCAGGAGAGGTCTGCGCGCCATGCGGGACCCTCCTCTGGTGGCCGGGGAGCAGCCGGGGATTGAACAGGCGCTGCAGAGGCTTCAGGCAGCTTCGCAACCCAGCGCTCAACCGCTGCGCCACCGGGGAGGCCCAATAAAAGTTTCTTTTAATAGCTGTGTTTATATAGTTATAAAATCAAGGACTTGCATACACAACATTTTATTATATTTAGCTTTCACTCGTGAATAATGATGTTTATTTTTCTGTCACACTGGCGCCATCATTAGTACTGTGCTTCCTAATACATTCTTAGTATGTTTGTTAAGATAAACAGCTCACAGCCATTTATAGAAACTATTGAACCATATAATCACTACTCCCAGTCAAGATAAGGTAAAATTACAAGTAGTCACATTTCATGAAAATCAGGAGTTGAAGACAATTTATGACATGAAAACTTGAACTATGGGAGAAATCTTCATAATTCAACTGAAACATTACATACCAGAGAGTTAAAATGTTGATACTTAGATTTTTCAGAAATTGAAATTCTTAGAAAAAGTTTTAACATTAACAATTTCTTTTTGTTTAGGAGTAGATCACATAATAGGTCACGTTCAAGACAAAAAGATAGGCGTAGATCTAAGAGCCCACATAAAAAACGCTCTAAATCAAGAGAGAGACGGAAGTCAAGGAGTCGTTCGCGTTCACGGTGAGTTTTAGGAAAATTTTTTCATGGCTTCATTTCTTAAAAAATTGTGCTTTAGGCTTTGGTGGGAGAAATAAAACTTTTCTCCATGATTGTTTTAGTAATGATCAGTATTGGTTGCCATTGATTTGAATCTCATGGTCAGGTCAGTACAACTCATGAGGTTTCTATTTACTTAATTTGCTCCCGTAATTGTCTCATGTATACTTGAGTTATATGGAAATTTATGTGTAAAGTCTGTAACTGTTATACTGTGTTGTGTTGATAATTGTTGAAGAAAGAAAAGATAGATCCTTTTTGTGGAGTAGAATTGTTGTAGTTGTGAATTTATTTGTTTTTAAAGGGACAAGAGAAAAGACACCCGAGAAAAGACGAAGGAAAAGGAAAGAGTGAAAGAAAAAGATAGAGAAAAGGAAAGGGAAAAAGAGAGAGACAGGGAAAAGGAACGTGAAAAAGAAAAAGAACGGGGTAAAAACAAAGATAAAGACCGAGACAAAGAACGGGAAAAGGACCGGGAAAAAGACAAGGAAAAGGACAGAGAGCGAGAACGGGAAAAAGAACATGAAAAAGAGCGAGACAAAGAGAAGGAAAAGGAACAAGACAAAGAAAAGGACCGAGAAAAGGACAGATCCAAAGATATAGATGAGAAAAGAAAGAAGGATAAGAAATCCAGAACACCACCCAGAAGTTACAATGCATCAAGAAGATCTCGTAGTTCCAGCAGGTTTGTTAAGGCTTGTAATTTTTACCAAGGTGTTTACTATAACAAATCAGATTTTAATGGGGGGGAAACATTATTCTATACAAGTAGTACAACAATAGCAGACCATTTCCTGCTATTGCAGAGTATACATTTCTCTAGCAGTATTAAACCCATGAGAAGTAATGATGATACTGGGCAAAACTCTTTAAAAGTTTTAACAATCCTTTGTAATTTACTGTTTTAACCTGGCAGTGGCTGCTGCCTCCTTTTTCTCTCCTCCTTCTCTCCTCCTCCTCTTTTCTTAAAGGATGGGGTGCCGGGAACCAAGTTTTTTGTGGTTGTTTTTTTGGGGGGGTGGGGGGGTTTGATAATATAATACAGAAGAATTGACCTGTTAGGCTTTTCTAATGCTTAAGAATGTTGTGGTAAATTTTAATATACAAAATAATTTCAAAATTTGCAGTGTTTGTGTTTTTTTGCTTGTTTGTTTTTTGCTCTATTTTATTGGCTGTGTAACCTTTAAATTTTAGTTTGGTCAGTTTTAAGGGTTTGATTTATTCTGAGGACTGTTCTCTATTAATAGGTACACTTCCACCAGGTGGCAGCAGGTTACTAATGTAATAGTTATAAAATGAGGATCCTTCTTGATTCCAGATTATTTAAACTTCATTGTATTGTGACTATAAATGAAAGTTGCTAACTTGTGTTAATCTTTATCTTAAAAATATAAAAAATACATATATTATAAAACATCACAAAGATATTTTAACCAGGAAATATTTTTTCTTTGAAAATAATAGGAGACAAAAGAGTGTTTGTATTTCCTAGTTTTTAAACTTCGTGCTTTAATAATTTATTCTTAATACTAGCCTTTGGTTAGGAATTAAGGGATAATTGCAAGAATTTCACTGAATGCCAGATGTTACATCTCAGCAGAATTTTTCATGACTAGCTTATGTAATTCATCACAATAAGCCTGTTAGACTATTATCTCTGTTTTAAAACATGAGTGGGCCTCCCTGGTGGCCTAGTTAAGTCTCTGTGCTGTCACCACTATAGCCTGAGTTCGATCCCCAGCCAGGGAGCTGACCCACATGGCGCAGCAGACCTCTCCTTTCTCACCTGCTGCTCGGCAGTGTATTTCTGTCAGTCTGCCTATTCTGCACATCTGTCTCTGGTGAATCCTCTCACCTTGTGCTGTCCCCACCTTCCCCCCCTCCCTCACACCTCTGGCCTACACCCAGTTCGTCTATGCATGCATGCATGCATGCATAAATAAATCTTTAAAACATGAAGAAACTGAATACTGGAGAAAAACTTTCATCTGCTCTGCCCTTTACTGTGAGTTTAGTAGCTCTCTCCCTTCGTTGTGGAGACTAAATTTAATTGAGAACTCGCTAAAGTTGACAGTGACAGGAGATGTTAAAATGGGGCCTAAAGTAAACAGATCACTGCCAGATTTAAGCTCATTGGACCCGAAACTGAATAATTAGCTTAACCTTATTTGCTGTGGGTAGCAATTCAGCCTTGCAGTTGCATCTTTAATCAGACTTAGCTGGTCGATTGTGTTAAACATGTCTTTAAGTTTATGTGACCATTTATGTTGTCCTCCACAATACCAAATAATGTTTTGATTCTTTTAAATTCAGTTGAATTTATTTTTTCTGAAATGCTTAAATTTTTCAATGGCCACTTTTAAGTTGCTTGATACTTAATAAACTTCATTTGTTCACCTTCGGTCTTAAAAATGATCTTAAATAAACCTCTGGATCTTAGAGAATAAATGCTGACTAACATTAGTTCATAAAGATTCAGCAGTTTGGAATTATTTCATGCTTTTAGAAGAGCGAGGTAAAGAGTTAAAAATCTTTTTGCATTTCCCTGCTTTTCAAGTACTTGTATTTGTTTAATAAAATAAATGGGAAATATTTTGACTTCTCCAGTACTGTACTTAATACTTTTGTTTTCAACATTGTCCTCTAATCTACATTTTAAAAGAAATTTTTGATAAGTAAAAACCTTTCAATGCCATCAGTAAAGTTGAGACTAAGAAAGAGGAGAAAAATATCTGTTGTGGAGCAGCTATATACCAGACACTATACTTGCTACTTTTTTTTTTTAAAGATTTATTTTTTTATTTTATTTATACAAGAACTGGGGTACAGGCCAGAGGTGTGGGAGGGTGAGAGAATTCACCAGAGACAGAGTGGGGGAGCAGAACAGGCATACTGACTGAAATACATTGCTGAAGGGAGCAGCGGGTGAAATAGGAAAGGTCTGCTGCCCCATGCGGGTATGTCCCTGGCCGGCCGGGAATCAAACCCGCCCTGCAGAGGCTGCGGACAGCTTTACAGCGCTGAGCTCAACCCTGTGCTGACACCAGGGAGGCTCTATACTTGCTACTTTAAAGATATTAAGTTCTCAGGGCCTCCCCGGTGGCGCAGTGGTTGAGCGCTGGGTTGCGAAGCCCACAGCCTCTGCAGCGCCGGTTCGATCCCTGGCTGCTCCCCAGCCACCGGAGGAGGGTCCCACATGGCGCGCAGACCTCTCCTGCCGCTCGCTGCTCCCCTCAGCAGTTATCTCATCACTCTGCCTATTCTGTTCCCCGCTCTGGTGAATTCTCTCACCCTCCCGCGCTTCTGACTGTACCCAGTGCTTGTATGTATGTATGTATGTATGTATGTATGTATAAATAAATAAATCTTAAAAAAAAAAAAAGATATTAAGTTCTCAAAACAATGCTGCAAGGTTTGAGTTATTTCCATTTTCCAGTTGGAAAAACTGAAACCCAGATTAAGTAATAGGCCTCCAGTTGTGCAAATTATGAAGTGTGGAGCTACAATATAAACCTAGGTCTAGGCAACAGTTCTTTATATTATAGCTACCATCTTTCTCCGTCATTGACATTTAAATTGATGTCTATCCAGCCTTAACTCATTTTCAGCTGTTAGTGTTAGATGTTCACCTGTGCTTAGTGCTTCCTTGAACAGTTACTATTTCTATCTCACAAGTTACAGGCAGAGCTATTTTGCTTAAACTTTTAAATCTGATTTTCCCACACTGAAAAATGTAGTTCTTATTGTGCTGAATTGTTACAGAATGGCATTGGTTGAGTGAAATATCAATATCTAATATCACAGTAGTCCAAAAGTATAATTTGGGGGATGTTTTGGAAATTGGGTAATGGAAGAGGGAGCCTTAGGTAGAATTGGGATTGATTTATTTGTGTTGTCAAAGTTCTTGAACTTTTTTCAACTTCACATCTAGCATATATACCACTTGTGAGCATTTATGTAGTTTTTGTTTTATAAATGGAAAATGTAGACAGAATGTTCCTTTACCTTATGATAACTCACTGAGATATTAAGGATAACTTGAATTCCGGAGGATTTCTTTTTTCAGCTTGTGTGACCATCGATTATCAGAGTTCCTTGTAAGATAGAGCATTGGATACACTAATCATTGAATAAATATCTCTTCTTAAGTACCTCATCCCCTGACTTAACGAATGTCTTAAAATCGTTGTTTTTAAGTTGATTATCCTTATAAATATAGAGTGTGCATTATTTGCTAATTTGTTAAGCAAAATAGTTTTTAATAATATTAAACTCTTGATAATCTGTTCAGTGATTATTTTTTACTTTGTCATTTTCAAACCCGAAGTTTTAACTGTTTTACATATGCTTAAGTGACTCGTCCACTCAATTTTAAATTAATAGAGCAATGATAAAATGATAGGTGAAAAGTAAAAAGTATTTCTCTCTAACATGAATTAATATGAATGCTTTTCTAGAGATAATCTAAAAAAAGTGGGTCTAGAAAGTTCATATTTGCAATTCATTTATCTTTCAGTTCTTATAAAAGGACCTATTGTTATAAAATAATCCACAGTGGGGCAGCAAGGAGCTAAGTGTATGATAGAAGATCTTATAAGCAAAATATGTTATAGACGTTGAGGAAGAAGAAGACTTAAACTTGAGAGAATCTGAAACAATTTTTCTGCTCAAGCAGTTGTTCAAACAAACCAGATCAAAGGCAGTTCTTTACTCTTACCCTAATACAAAAGCTTGGAGGATGTTTTAATCAGCCTTTGGAATTTAGGGTTCATAATTTCAATCCACACTAAAATTAGATAACAGAATGTTGTTCATAAAGAACATGACCTCTAAAGAATACTATTCACTTGAGAGCATAAAGGTTCTTGTTTTTGTATATTTGAATCGCCCTTTATTTAAATTGCTGGGGTTTTTTAAATGATGTATTTTTGGCTTTCAGAGAAAGGCGTAGGAGGAGGAGCAAAAGTTCTTCCAGATCACCAAGAACATCAAAAACCATAAAAAGGAAATCTTCTAGGTCTCCATCTCCTAGGAGGTAGGTTGGAAACATTTCCTGAAACTTAGGAAGGAAGCAGGGGGAGGAATTGTTTTCATTCTATTTTTTTAAATACTCTGTTTTGAAGGCAAAATATGTAGCATCATTAAAACAGTATAAAATGTTATATATTGGGGGCCTCCCTGGTGGCACAGGATTAAAGTCTCAGTGTATTGCCAGCCACTGCATCATGAGTTAGATCCCCAGCCTGGGAGCTAACCCACATGGTGCAGCAGACCTCTCCTGTTTTGCCCACTACTTCCCTCAGCAGTGTATTTATTTCAGTAGATCCACCTGTTCTGCTCCCTACTCTGTCTCTGGTGAATCCTCTCACTCTGCTCCCCCACCCCACACCTCTGGCCAGTACCCCAGCTCTTCTATGCATAAATAAAATATTTCTTTCAAAAAAAACATGTTATATATTGGTAGATCCTAATTTCTACCAGTGTACCCATCTACTCTGTAAGTAATGACTTTTTTTTTTTTGTATAGCCTTCCAGTTTTATGTATGGATACAAGATGATAATATCTAATTTTTTATCTCACCTTTCTTACACAAGGTAGCACAAAATATGTACTGTTATGCACTTGTTTTTGTCACTTAACTACCAGATGTTTCCATATTTGTCAGAGAACACGTCTTCATATTTGTAACTACATCGGCTTTTGTGATAGGGCAATACCTAGTTTGTTTAACCAACCTGAAAAAGATAGGTTTTCTTATTCTAGTATGTATTATTAGAAATTACATAATTTCTTATTATAAATTATACAATGCTGTAATGAATTACTTTAGACTTAACACCATTTAGTAGTGATAGCATGTATGAAATGTTTCCAGACATGGTATTATTTAGGTCAGAGTAAGTATGTTTTGTAATTTTGAGAGTTTTATCCATATTGCTCTTCATTAGGATTGACAGCTACTTGATCTTTAACCAGCTATATAAGAGAATGCCTCTTTCCCTGTAACTAAACAGATCATCAAAATTCTTGTGCTGTGATAGATGACAAATTGTATGAGCATATTAAAATTTCAGTTGCATGTCTCATATAACAGAGAGTTACTGGCTCTTCATTTATTTGAAGGCCATTTGTATTTTCTCTTCTGTGAATTGTCTATACTTTGCCCATTTTTCTGTTGGTCTTTTTTATGCACTCCCCTCCTCAATTTCAAGATGCTCTTTTTGTATTAGGGAAGTAATTAGTGATTTGATTTCAAGTATTCTTAGTTTGTCATTCTTTTTAGAAATTGCTGTGGGACTTCATTTTATAAGATTTTAATTTTTCTCTTATGGCATTAAATTTCTCAATTTTTTTCTTTTGTGATTTCTAGATTTTAAGTTATAAAGTTAGAAAGGTTTTTCCTATTCAGAGTTTTGATGGAATTCCTCATTGTTTCTTCTTGTATTTTTATGGTTTTAGTTCTTTCATTTAAATCTTTGATCCATTTGTGTTTTTTTTTTTTTTTAATATATATATAGAGGCTTTTTTTTTGTTTGTTTGTTTTGTTTATACATGCACTGGGTACAGTCAGAAGCGCAGGAGGGTGAGAGAATTCACCAGAGCCAGAGTAGGGAGCAGAGCAGGCAGAAAGGACTGAAGTACACTGCTGAGGGGAGCAGCGGGTGGCAGGAGAGGTCTGCGCGCCATGTAGGACCCTCCTCTGGTGGCAGGGGAGCAGCTGGGGATCGAACCAGCACTGCAGAGGCCGTGGGCAGCTTCGCAACCCAGCGCTCAACCGCTGCGCCACTGGAGAGGCCCTGTTGTTTATTCTTATGTATACTTAGGCATATGAATCCAATACTTCTCTTGTTTTGATACTTTTTAAAAAAATTTTTTTTTTGCGTAGAATAGTTGGGGTGTAGGCCAGAGGTGCTGGGGGTGAGAGAATTCACCACTGACAGAGTGGGGAGCAGAACAGGTAGATCTACTGAAATACACTGCTAAGGGGAGTGGCCGGCGAGACTGGAGAGTCTGTTGTACCCTATGTGGATTAGCTCCTTGGCCAGGGATTGAACTCAGGAGATAATGCTGAGACTTAACCTCTACGCCACCAGGGAGGCCTTCCCATTTTAATACTGTTAATTACAAACTCAGTATTTCTAACACTAATATGATATGTAGCTTTTGTCATACACCAAGTTTTCTGTTTGTGTTTGAATCTATTTCTGGGCATTCTATACTGTTGAATTACTTTCATTGATGATTCCTGTACCAGTTTCCCATGTTTTTAATTATTCAGATTGTATAGTACTTTTTAATATCTGATAAGGCCATTCTCCCCCACATACTGTCGCATTGCACTTTTTTTGAGCTTTCCTGACCATTGAATATTTAATTTTTCCATTTGAATTGTCAGTTGTCTAATATCCTGGAAATAAAACCTGTTGATTTGTGTTACACTGCTGTAAGATTATAAATGAACATGGAAAATTGATAGATTTACTAATAAATAAAGCATTATGGTGGTGAGTTTTCCTGTCCAGTAATTGTGGTATGTCTTATTCAGCACTGTCCTTTTAAGACTGTGCTTTTCAGGAGGGTTTAATTAAGCGTTTTATACAAATACTATGCATTTTCTAAGTTTTCTCATTGTTATTTTACTTTTTGTTGCTTTTGGAAATAAGAACTTTCATTATGTCATCCATTTGCAGTTTCTCCTCATAATTCCTGGTACCCACTAATTTATGTATTGTTCCTGTGATTTCACTGTTCTGGACATTTCATATATGGGCCCATAAAATGTGCGGTCTTTTGAATCTAGCTTCTTTGAGTAAGCATATGTTTTTGAGATTCATTAATGTGGTAGCACGAGTCAGTAGTCATGTATCACCTGACTGGTATTTCAGTCAACAACAGACCACATATTCTACAGTGGTCCCAGTAGGCTATCATGTATAGCCTAGGTATGTGGTAGACTAAGCCTTCTAGCATAGGTTTGTATAATTACACTGCATGACATTCACATAATGAATTGCCTAAGGATGCTTTTTTCAGAGTATATTCCAGTCATTATACAATGCATGACTATACCTCATTCCTTTTTATGGGTGAATAACATTCCTTTATATGGGCTAAAAGCATGATTTTTATCCATTCATTGGTTGCGGATCCTCTGCTATGAACACTCATATACAAGTTTTTGTGTAGGCCCATATTTTCATTTATCTTGGGCATGTACCTAGTGTGGTAATTGCTTTCTGTCTTTTTGAGAAACTGCCAGACTGTCTTCAGAGTGTACCATTTTACATTCCCTAGCAGTGTACAAGAGTTCCTATTTCTCCACATGTTCACCAATACTTTATTGTCTATCTCTGATTATAGGCATGTAATGGGTTTGTGGTGACATCTCATTGTGGGGTTTTTTGTTTAATTTTTTATTAAGGTAATGTTGGTTTACACCATTACATGTTATTTAGAAGTGTAGGTTTGTAACTCTTCATTTTGATTGATAATTCTCTAATGACTAGTGGGGTTGAGCATCTTTCTATGCGTCTATTGAGCTTTTCTTTGTTGTCTTAGGAGAAATGTCTGTTCAAGTCTTTTGTCTATTTTGAATTGGATTATTTGATTTTTTTAATTATAGTAGTGCTTTACTTTCTGGATATTAATCTCTTACCAGATATATGACTTGCAAATATTTTCTACCGTTGTGTGAACTGTTTCTTCTTGATTGTATCCTTTATTGCACAAAAGTTTGTAATTTTGATGAAGTTACAATGTATTTTTTTCTTTTGTTGCTTGTGCTTTTGGTATCATATCCAAGAACTCATGGTCAAATCCAATGTCATGAAAAATTTTGACCTATGTTTTCTTTTAAGTTTTATAGTCTTATCTTACATGTTTAGGTGTATTATCTATTGAGAGTTAATTTTGACTTACTAAGGTAAGAGTCCAACTTTATTCTTTTGTTGCATGTGTATATTCAATTTTCCCAGTACCATTTGTTGAAAAGACACTTTTCTCCATTGAAGGGTACCCTTATCTGCAGTCTTTAGACTATATACGTGAGTGTTTATATTAAGTTTTGAAATCAGGTATTGTGTATCTTCCAACTTTGTTCTTTTTTTTTTTTTTTTTTTTTTTTAAGATTTATTTATTTATTTATACAAGCACTGTGTACAGTCAGAAGCGCGGGAGGGTGAGAGAATTCACCAGAGTCAGAGCAGGGGGCAGAACAGGCAGAAGGACCGAAGTACACTGCTGAGGGGAGCAGCGGGCGGCAGGAGAGGTCTGCGCGCCATGTGGGACCCTCCTCCGGTGGCCGGGGAGCGGCCAGGGAGCATCCGGGGATCGAACCGGCGCTGCAGAGGCTGCAGGCAGCTTCGCAACCCAGCACTCAACCGCTGCGCCACCAGGGAGGCCCACTTCCAACTTTGTTCTTTTTAAGATTGTTTTGACTATTTGAGGTGCCTTGACGTTCCATTTGAATTTTAGGATGGGTTTTTCTATTTCTGCTAATAAAGATGTCAGTGGAATTTTGATAGGGATTATATTTGTAGATAGCTTTTGGGGAATGGCATCTTAATGTATATGCCTGCTGATCCATGAGCATGGGATGTATTTCCACTTATTAATGTCTTTCAGTAAATCTTTTGCCTCCTTGGTTAAATTTATTATTGAGAATTTTTAGCTTTGTTTGATGTACATGTTCCCTTGACTTTTTTTTTTTTCCTGTGGGACCCTTGCCGGCGGCCGGGGAATGAACCTGCGCTGCAGAGGCTCACAGCCCAGCGCTCAACCGCTGCGCCACCAGGGGAGGCCCTCCCTTGACTTTTAAGAGCTATATATAAAGATAAAAGTATGCTGGAAATATTTTTTGTTGATCATTTTTCTTTATGCTACTGGTGTTCTTTGCTTTGAAAGAATTTATGTAGGCAAATTTATCAATCTTTTTTCTGAAATTTTGACTGGTTTAAAAAATCTTTTCACCTGAGTTTTTAAAAAATCCATCCATGATTTCTTCTAGTACTTGTATTATTTATTGCAATTGTTTATGAGGTCTCTAATTTGGACTTCTATATATAGAAGTCTTCTATATATAGAAGAAGATTCACTTTTATTTCCCAAATGATAATCAAGTTGCACGTCAAATCTTTTATTTATGAAAGACTATTTTTTCACCAGAGATTTGAGATCCTACCTTTATTATACTAAATGTCACATATAATTGGGTTTATTTCCTGTCTTTTATTTGTTCTATTGGTCTTTGTATTTATTTCTAAACTAAGGATAATTAAGAAAAAAAAGGGCTCTTTTAAATAGAAGCTATGTGTTTTGCTTATGATATGAAAGCATCATTTTTTCCCCCAGTATTAAGGGTATATTATTTTTATATATGGAACTTGTTCTATCTTCTGTCTAATTTTTACTTTTAAATTGGTGGGACCCTTTTGTAATGGTAAGTGAGGGTTTATAACACAGGTTATCTGAAGTTTCAAGTTTTTGCCAGTAATCACTCAGCCCTGACTTGGGAGTATTCTTTTCATTTTTTTTTTGCTTACTCACTTTTTGCTTTGAGAAGGTGGGTAAGAAAGCACTATGTTAAGCTTTATTTTATTCTAATTATAGTAGAAAATGAATCTTGAATATTTCAAAACTAGTAAATTGACAGAACCAAATTGTGTTTTATGTGAACACTTGATAGCCTCTACAGAAATGAATTTTTTTAAAAGATTTATTATTTGTGCATAGAAGAGCTGGGATGGGGTGAGAGGCCAGAGGTGGGGTGGTGAGAGGGTTCACCAGAGACAGAGTGGGGAGTGGAGCAGAACAGTATATTGACTTAAATATACTGCTGAGGGAAGCAGTAGGAGAAATACGAGAGGTCTGCTGTGCCAAGTGGGTTAGCTCCTTGGCCTGGCATGGAACTTGTGCTGCAGTGACTGCTGATAGCTTCCTGATGCTGAGACTTAACCCCTTGTGCCACCAGGGAGCCCCAAAATTGTTTATTTCTTAAAAATTATTTGGAGTATGGGGTGAAGTAGATAAAGTTATAGGAGCCTTTCATGTAACTTGTTCAAATCAGGTTACTGAGATGCTTGTTTATAATACATTCACATCACATAAAAATATAGTAGGTCTTCAATTTTTTAGAGGCCAACTGACATAGTACCAATATCCTTACAGCAGAAATAAGAAGGATAAAAAGAGAGAAAAAGAAAGGGACCACATTGGTGAAAGAAGAGAACGAGAACATTCAACCTCTACAAGAAAGAGTTCTAATGACAGAGATGGGAAGGAAAAGTTGGAGAAGAACAATACTTCACTTAAAGTAAGCAATAGTCATTAGTGTTTAATAATTGAAATTATTCTTCCTTATTGCATGGAACTAGTTTTAAACTAAAAGTTCCTTGAGTGGAGCCTATATACTCTGTTTTTCAATTAATATTTGATAAATTGATAATTTTCAATTTTTTGGGGGGATAAGAGCTAAAAATTAAAGTCATATTCCTTATTTTTATTAAATACATGGCCTTTTTTTTTTTTGAGTTGCAGAAACATCAGTTTACAATGTAGTATGGGATTCAGGAACGTAGTGTATCAGATCTCAACACATCTACAACCAACGGTGCATTTCTTGCTTTAGAGAATGGCATACCATAAGAAAAATTTTACTAAGATATCTGCTCTGTTTTCCACAGTATATTCGCTCTAGCAAATTTGATAGATGTTTCATTTTCATTGGTTTTGGAATATATACTAAAATTAGGTTTATTAGTTAGAAAACCACATTCACCAAATAAGGGATTTTATTTTTTTTTGATTCATATCTCAAGTACTTTTGATTGGGTTAACTCCTTTATATGGTAAAATATATGTTTTTAAGTCAATTTATGAGTTTTTGAGCTTTCATCTTAGAGTTTTATTTACGCTTAAAGAGATTTAGCATCATCATAACATAACATAACACTGTTTAGAAATTTGCTTACCTATTGTATTCTAATTTAATTTCTATTGATTCATTTTTCCTGAGAATGGTAAGGGGCATATTGACAATGTTTATATATCCTGTTTATATGAAAAGGTGTATTGGAAGAAAATATCCAGTTTTATTCACAAAAGATAAAGTTAAATATTTTAGTCATAACCATAGGTAAGGAACAGGCAACTCCTGTGGCATATATTAAATGTATCCCTTAATATTCACTGTAGGAGAAGGAGCACAATAAAGAACCAGATTCAAGTGTGGGCAAAGAAGCAGATGACAAGGATGCACCTAGGACTGAGGAAAACAAAGTGCAACAAAATGGGAATTGTCAGCCAAATGAAGAAAACCTCTCTACCAAAACAGAAGCAGTATAGGAGTGACAAATGCACCTCTAAACACACGCTGGAATAAAATCCAAAGCTTTTAATTCTCTCAACAAGATGCTAAGCAGTGAAGAATCCTATTGAGTAAAAAGATAGCACTAACAGCTTGTTTAGTTGTTATGTGACTTTGTGGCCATCTTGTTACTGAGTAGGGGAAAAAAGAATGGACATCATAAAAATAACAGATGTTTCCCAAATTCCTCATCTGAAATCTGCATTTCCATGGTGGCTAACACACTTGTCATGTGGTTTATTAGTGTTTGCCAAGAATCATTATAAGTAAATGGGACATCAGAGATCCACATTTGTCCTGTCCATAAAGACTGGAGATAAGCATTGGACGCTCTTTAAAACAAATGCTAGTTACTGAATTTTGTATTGTTTTACTTTTGTCATTTAATTTCAGTATATATAGATTGATGATGTGCTTGAAATCGGTGCAAATATATACACACCCTTGTAAGTGCAGAGTATATAAGAAGTTTTAACATTATTTCACAGAACTTATAGTGATTGTTAAATTCTCACTATTGTGTTTTCTTTTGCTCACTGTCTAGGACAGCAGTTTTTCTTTAAAATAGTTTTACAGATTAAAAATTGCTTAAATAAGTGGATTGAAAAACAACTGACAATGCATGCTACTTTTCTGTTTCAAAAAGAAGAGCAACTGTGTTGAATACTAATAACAACATATTAGTATTCTGTGTTTAGAATCATTGGGTCTCCCCACCAAGTAAGCTTTTTTTTTGAACTTTCTGGACATTTCCAAGCTTATGAATAATATTGCAGTGTGTGTTGTCAGCTGTAGATGGCAAAGGTGCCATATTATAAAAAGAAAACTGGGTTTTCACAATGGGCTATGGGAGCACAAGCTGAAGCTTTAGTGCCTTCTACAACGTGGTTTTCTAGAATTTTATATGTGCTAGTCACTCGTAGTTCATATGGATTGTAGATGGATATTCCGTTCACTCCCATAGAGAAGTGTGCAAGTACTATGTCAGAAGAGCTTCGTTCGTTGTTCACCTGGTCTGAAAGGGAAGTCCTGTGTTCAGGAATGACTTCAGAGCTTAAAGTAACTGCAGTTTGGGGACCATCAGTTTTATACTGTGATAACTGAAAATGAAACATTTTATTTAAATCAAAGTAAACTCTTTAGTTGTCTACATTGGATGGCCTTAATTATTACCTCTCAATCATCTTCTCAAATGATGTGCAGAAATTGTACTTAAAGAGAATGCGTGAGATTATTTTATGTGTAAGGCTCTGTTTACTTGAGTTTAAAATATAGGTCATCCATCATTCTGAGGCTCACTTTTTTGCAGAGTACGCAAGTAGCAAGTGACAACATTGCTGATACTTCCCTTAAAATCCATAACTCATAGTTTCAGAACTTTTCATTATTATATTTCAAAGTTAGACCTCTTAATTAGCATGTTATTAAAAAAATCAAGTATAATTTTAATGCATCCTAATACAATCAAATTACTCAGTTGCCTTACCTCATGGAGTTACTTTATAGATTTAAAAAACTGAGTAGCGGGTCAGTTACTTGGTTTCAACTTGAGTTTTCTTTTAATGTTAATACTATTGAGAGTATTTGGTGAAGAATGGAAAGAATTGCCCTTATTGCGAGTAATGAAGCCTGGTTTGATTATGAAGCTGCTTAATTACACTTCATGTGTTCAGAATTACTGTGTTTTTTTTTTTCCTTTTTTGTCACTGTGTATATTAAAATTTTTGAAAATGCTTTACTATGTAAAGTATAGATGGTCATTTTAATCATTCAACCACATACGGTTGGCTGGTAAACAGCTTATTCTGATACAAGAATGCTTGGGTGCATATGGAAAGAATGTGAAAGGAGTGTGTCTTGCTTCAACAACTGTCTTATTTATGATATGTAAGTAGAATAGAGCAAATGTTTGAATCTTTGTTATTTTTAGTACCATTTCTCTAATAAAGCTAAGTATTTTAGAGGAAAGTATTTGTTTATGCATTTCAAAACAGCATTAGTTTTATCACCTTGTCTTAGTTGAGGTAGATATTGTTTCACCATGGAGAGTGCATGTTTGTGTGGTGTCTATAAAACAATCATTTAAAGTTTGAGTGTTTTCTTGTATTCTGGACTCTATTAAATGTTTTTTATGTTAGTAATTAACATATTTAACTTGGTTCCTGCTGTTAATTATTTTCTTGCTAATGATACTTAGCTTTGAACTAATCCTGCTAATTTTAGAGACTGATTTGTAAAAGTTGGGCATGAGAAGAAATACAAGAACTCTGGAGAAAGTGAAATCATTTTCTTAAATGGGCTTAAGGAAGCAAAGCTTTCTTGAGTCTAAAGATACTGGGGTGGAATATGGGGAGACATTTTCTCTTTGTTCTCTTGTAAGAACTGATATACTTCTTTTTTTTTTTTTTTTTTTTCTTTCAAGGTATTTTGTTTTTAAGAGTGTACTTTTTCATCCCAGGTAGATGTTGTGAGGAAAACTTGAGGTAAGGCCAAGAAGACGGCCATTTTACTCTTGATACCTTCTGAAGTTATCCTTTTGTAGCTTGATTATGCAGAGAGTATAGTCTGTTCTTTAAATTGTAATTGTTCTTCATCATTCTAGAAAAATTCTGTTGGTCCTCTTGTTCTTGCTTCTCAGCAATGGACACAGAACTAGTAATACAAGATGGTCCTTCAAGGTAGCAAGTTTCATGTGAGAAAACAAGTACAAATCCTTAACTTCTGAAATTGTCTCCTTAGTTACTAGGTTCCATTTAATCTAATTAACTTATAACTGCAGATGCTAGTTCCCCTGTGTTTATTCAGATTGCTTTTTCCCAAAAGGTTCAGTATATACTATGTTAATCTCCAGGAGTTGTGAGATGCTTAAATTTTTTTTTTTTAAAGACTTTTTTTTTTTTAAGATTTATTTTTATTTATTTATACAAGCACTGGGTACAGTCAGAAGCGCGGGAGGGTGAGAGAATTCACCAGCGCCAGAGCGGGGAGCAGAGCAGGCAGAAGGACCGAAGTACACTGCTGAGGGGAGCAGTGGGCGGCAGGAGAGGTCTGCGCGCCATGCAGGACCCTCCTCCGGTGGCCGGGGAGCAGCCGGGGATCGAACCGGCACTGCAGAGGCTGCGGGCAGCTTCGCAACCCAGCACTCAACCGCTGTGCCACCAGGGAGGCCCAAGATGCTTAAATTTTGACATGCTCTATTAAAAATGTATAGAATCAGGGTTTTTTTCCCCAAGAAAATAATTTGTGGGCCTCTCCGGTGGCGTAGGGCTTAAAGTCTCAGCGCTATAAAGCTGTCCCCAGCCACTGCAGCATGAGTTTGATCCCGGTCAGGGAGCTAATCCACATGGCACAGCAGACCTCTCCTGTCTCGTCTGCTGCTCCCCTTAGCAGTGTATTTCAGTACACTGTTGGGGCTCTAGCCCCTGCAGAGGCTGCGGACAGCTTCACAGCGAGGCGCTGAACTGCAGGTGCTCCCCTGGTGGCCCACTGTAGGGGTTAGAGCGTCTCTCTCCAAAGTTTCCTCTTCCATGGGTTTAAAATTCGAAGAATTACTTTTGTAATTGCCAAAATTGTTGTAGCTTCCACCATCTCCAAAATCACTTCCATTGTTACCAATCCATTGTACCTATGTCCACTGCTACCACCTGTTCTGCTCCACTCCCCACTCTGGTGAATCCTCTCACACACCCTCTCGCCCCCTACCCCCACCCCACACCTCTGGCCTACACTCCAGTTCTTCTATGCATAAATAAATAAAAATAAATCTTAAAAAAAAATTTGTTAATACTCATTTTTTTATTCCTATATATGTTGCTGTCATTACCTTAAAACTTAAAAAAATAGGGCCTCCCCTGGTGGCGCAGGCAGTTGAGCGCCTCGCTGTGTTGCTGTCCACAGCCTCTGCAGCGACCGTTCAATCCTGTCCCACATGGTGCAGCAGACCTCTCCTGGCTCGCCCACTGCTCCCCTCAGCAGTGTACTTTGTCAGTCTGCCTGTTCTGTTCCCAACTCTGTCTCTGGTGAATCCTCTCACCCTCCCGCACATCTGGCCTGTACCCCCGTTCTTGTATAAAATACATAAATCTTTAAAAAAAAAACAACTTAAAAAAATAAACCCTGAACTGGCTCTGAACTGAAGATACTCAAATTTAAGGATTATGATATGTAATAATAGGCTTTTAAACTTGAAAGAAATTATTAGAAATAATATGATTTTGATTTAAATCTTTAGTAGTTGAATTAGCAATTAAAATGAATCCTTTTGGAGAGATGGTTTAATAACAACATTTCAATGAGTCATTTATATTTTCAATGTCTAATTTTGTGGGTTATGAAATAGAACCATTTCCACAAAATTATGTTCCTTTTGTGTTTAAATTTTTTATTTTCACTACTTATCTGTATAGTATTTTCTCATGTTTATTTACTAATGTAATCTTTAAAATTAAATTTTTTCAAATTTCAAAAGTCAGTGCTCTTAAAAGGGTGAAATTATAATTGTGGAAGCAGGAGTCAAGTATAAATGTAATAAAAGAATTCTTTTAAAATATAATTGGCTTCCCTACTTAATCTTGGGTTTGTTGGTAAATTTGTTTTTGTTAAATACACTTTCACTGATTCTGCCTAAAAGACTTTCAAAAATAAAGTTAAATCTATTAATGATTTTTTTTGTTAGGTTGATTTTATAGTTTCTAGCAATTGACTGTAAGTACTAGTTTATAACAGTTTTTAATGGCTTTTGAAAGTAGGTTTTTAGTCTGTTGACATGGTTTTAAAATTTACCCTGTATCTAGCCAACCTTTTAATTAAAAAGTGTCCATTTAGGGCCTCCCCTGGTGGTGCAGGTGGTTGAGCACCATGCTGTGAAGCTGTCCACAGCCTCTGCAGTGCTGGTTCGATCCCAGCCAGCCGGCAAGGGTCCTACATGGCACGGCAGACATCATCTGTGGCGCCCGCTGCTCCCCTCAGCAGTGTATTTTGTCAGTCTGCCTGTTTTGTTCCCAACTCTGTCTCTGGTGAATCCTCTCACCCCCCGCACATCTGTACCCAGGTTCTTACATGTATAAATAAATAAATTTTTAAAAAGTTTGCATTTATAGGAATATTCACATATTTTACAACTAAGATGTGTTTTCCCATGGTTCACTCATTCTTAATTTGCTTTATAGATAATTTAACTGTATATGTAAGTTCAAACTCATGAAAATCATTCTGAACTGCATTTGAAGAGTTTGAGTTCACCAGTTTAATATTGCTGCTAGATGACTTTTGGGGGAAATAACATAAGGAATTCCTTGATTTTGACAGGAGTGTTAATATCCTTCTTAATCTTGATTAGGTTAATAGTGTTCTTGTTTACATCATGCTGTGGTTTAGTGAGGTGAAATTTTGAAATGTAAACAAAGATGCTGCGTAAGTAAGTGGTGTATATGTGAGTAGGACTACCTATAAATGGTACCAGTAAAGATTAATCTAATGTTGCTATTACATATTTATACATTTTTTAAAAAACAAATTTATTCATTGTCATGATCAGACTACTACATTTAGCAGTCAACAGCATGGGTGCAAAAAAAAAAAATCTGCAGTCCTTGAGGTTTTGCCCATGTGTATGAGTGTTATCTAAAACATGCCCTTTTTGTAGGAGTTAGGCCCTGCCACCACTGCTTGGCTGAGTTCACAAATCTGTTGTAACCTATAGCTTCCCTGTCACTTCTCTGGTTCTCCTCTCTTGCTAAGCTTTGTTTCCTGGCAGTTAATTAAAACCTCCTGCCTCTGTGAGGAGCTACTGCTGCTGCTGCTGGAATCACCATATCCACATTGGTTTCATGGTTTGGCAAAGTATTGGTCTCTACCACCATAGGGGTAGAGCGTCTGTCTCCAAAGTTTCCTCCTTCCATGGGTTCAAAATTTGAAGAATTACTTCTGTAATTCAGGCATCTTAGTTCCAACGTCCAAGGCTGTTGTCCATCCAGGGAATGACAGGTCACCTCAAGGGCAGTGAGTACTCTTTTGGGCCTATGCTCTGAAACACATCTTGTCAGCTGATGAAAAATCAATTTTTTTCTCATGTTTAAAATGAGTAGGGGTTTTTGGTCCATTGTTGCAAGACCATCTTGCAGCTGCTCTTGTCAGATAAGCAGAAAAAGGAAATGAGGGCCTCCCTGGTCGTTCAGGTAGTTGAGCGCCACACTGTGAAGCTGTCCACAGCCTCTGCAGTGCGGGTTCGATCCCGGCTGGCCGGCGAGAATCCCACATGGCACAGCAGACCTCTCCTGTCTCACCTGCTGCTCCCCTCAGCAGTGTATTTCTTCAGTCTGCCTGTTCTGGTCCCCACTCTGTCTCTCGTGAGTCCTCTCACCCTCCCGCGCATCTGGCCTGTACCCCGGTTCTTGTATAAAAATAAATAAATCTTAAAAAAAAAAAAAAAAACAGGAAATGACTATCATGACCACTATGGTTTCAAGAATATGCCTTTCATTGTTTTCTCCACCACCAGGTGAATGTGCTGGCTGGAAGGTAAGATTGTGCTTTCTGAGGTGCACACAAGTCACTTTATTTTTAGAACATTCAGGAGCAGGCACTCTGGTGAGCTCTGGGTCATGGCTCTTCAAATATTTTAGGGCTTCAAATCCTTCGTGTCCAGGTTTAGAAAAATATAGGCAGGTAGAGAGATACTGTTAGTGGCAGACTGAGGTGCACCTCAGGACCATCCACTGCATAAAGTCAAAACATACTCTTAGCGATAAGTTCAGCAGAAAGGAACTTTAATACAATTAGTATGCAATTGAGAGAGGAGAAAGAATATGGTTAAAATAGTTCCCCCATGAAACCCCATTTACCCACTCCCCCGTGGGTAAATGCCCAAACATGATTGGCTCAAAGCAGGGCCACTGAGACCTGAGAAAGCTTGCCACAAGTCAAAGGCACCTTCTGGCAGGGAACCATAGAAAAGGGGCAGATGGGATCAGGAAAGTCCAGAGGAAAAGAGCAAAATGGTACTATAAGTCAAGATAAAAGCTGCCAATGTCAGACTCCCCACGGGTCTCTCACCCACATCTCTGTCTCTTTAAAATGTGTCCTTCCTTATCCCTGGTTACACATCCAAGGCTGAGAAGCAAGGATGGCTTCTTCACCTGTCTCTCTGCTCCATGTACCTCTTCCAGATCATCTCTCCTTTTCCCAAGTTCTTCCAGTCTTTTCTAGCTTCTTGCTGCTCGGCTCCACCCTTCCTTGGGCAGGGCAGGGAAACTAGAACCTCCCCTTTCTATGGTTGTCACACTTAAAATATGAGGTGTGTAAGAATTCAGAGGCTCCTTTAATTAAACAAGGGCACCAGGAGTGGCTTCTGGAATATTCCTCTTTTCTCCTGAGATTCAGTAACCCAAAGTGTCTCCTAAAAATTCATATTGAAGGCTCAGGATAACTGAGCAACTAGTTTCACCTAAGACTTCTTCAGAAGATGGTAAGTTTCAGATATCAAATCCCCAGAGATTATCACTTAAATATAGAGGGAAGCAAGGGCCTTCCCTGGTGGTGCAGCGGTTGAGTGCTGGGCTGCGAAGTTGCCTGCAGCTGTTGTGCCCAACTTCGACCAGTGCAGCCCCCAAGGACACACAGACAGCCGCTGTAAGAACACAAAGGAGTTTATTACGGGCTCAAGTCTGGGCTCGTGACACACACCGATGTAACGGCGGAGGTCAGGAGCCCTGAACCAAGGGAACAGGGATCTTATATAGGGGTACAAGTAGATTTCTAAAAATTAAATCATGTTGGCAATCGTTCATTAGTTACATAGGTGCATCATTCATTGATTATGTTAGGGGGAAAAGGATGTCCCAAAGCAAATTCCATATAGGCTTTGTGGACTCCACCCCCACCCCAGGTCAAAGCCAAAGACACTGGGAACTCCAAATCCCATCACCACCAAAGGGAAGGTGGCTGGGACCTGAGGGTGGGGTTAAGCAGCCAGGTGGATACAA